TTGGTGATAAACTTCCCGGGGGGCTACTTCGGGCTAGACGCCAACTATGGCTAGTTTCTTGGCAACGCATAACTTTTGAACTCGTCCTCCGTACTAACTTAACTTCAGTAGATCATCATCAGGCTAAGTAGTACTTTAATTGAAGTAAGTGCAGATCCTGGGGCTCTTCATTTCACAAATAACCGAAAGCCCAAATCCACGTCACTTACGAGAGATATCGTGCTAATGATGCTCAGGTAATGCAATTTCTGTTCACGACGACGCTCTTCGACTGGTTCGAATGCGACACCGTACACAACTCGCTGCGGTTGCAGCAGTTCCATTGGCAAAGGACGTTCTCTGTTGCGGAGCTGTCCCGGAGCCTCGTTGTGATGCATGTTGGTCCTCCTTGTGCATGTGCAGTATGCACGGTCCGCCATTGAACGCGCGCAGCGGCACACGCACGGGTCAGATGGTCTGAGACCGTTATCACTGCGCTCAGTGTCTATTTTTGAGAGATTTCGAATGAGACTCAACTCCCACCCAGCCCTGCAGCAAGACTTCCCCCCCGCATAGAGCTGAAGGCTGAGTCTCATGTCGTCTGTGTGTCCCACCTCCCGAGCGCACGCACAGTTGATGCAAACATGGCCCTCCTACGGGCGATTATAGCGTCATTCGTGTAGTCCTTCAGAGGCATTGAAAGCCACAGTGTCTGCTGGCATCGGAGTCTCTGAATATCCGGACACATCTGTTTCTTTTGTGTACGAGTTGGACACACGTCCTTGATCTGGCTCTCTACAAGACTTGCCTGCGTGGAGGGTAGTTCACCATGGCCGACCGCCCGTTACGCCCTGTGGTTGAGATCAATGAAGATGGCGTCTCGCCTGCTTCTTCACATCGCAGTCCCGTCAAGGAATTCTCGCCCACAAACATCTTTCGGCGCCATGGATACCATCGCATGGCCTCCGATGGCAGCCAGGAGATGATGACCTACAAACCCCGACCGGAGGAAGTACAACAATGGGAGGCAGCCTGTGGCGACTTTGACAAGGAAGGATTGGGTATCACAGGTCTTTCTCCGAAGATAAAACGCGTGCCCGTGGGTGCAAAAAGCACCTCGCCAAACACACCTCGCTCGACCCACGGGTTCTCCTCCACCAACTCGACACCTCACTCGTCCAGCAAGCCTTTCAACTCGCATCCGGTAAATCACCAATCCTCATGGTATAGTGAATCCCCAGCTGTAGCAGGACAAGGCGAGCTACACCAAGACAATACGCCCAAGTTCCAAGCAATGCCCACTAGGAGCATCCCCGAGGACGAAGATGCCCATCGTACAAGCAACGGGCGCCCAGAAGCGGACGATTTTGATGATGAAATCTTTTACAAGGGTTTTGGTATGTTCCTAGAAGGATGATTGTCCCATCATACGTCAGGCAATGAGCGAACCTGAATACTTATGAATCGCAGGGAAACCGCCGCTGTATTGCTCTTCGTCAGGCGATGTCCACGTGAAAAGAACGAACTGGCTTTCCCTCACAATTTTCTTTCTGAGTATCTACTCTACTGTGCTCTCCGGTATTTGGCTCATGGTCTCTATTGTCCAACCTCGATGGGGCTACCAGATCTCGTCACGACAGGGTCTGCTACCATCGACGGCAACGACTTTAGCGGCACTTGCCAGCAAAACCATTGAAATGAGTTTTGTGACAGTGTTCATCTCCTGTCTAGGACAAGTCTTGACTCGCAGGAGCATCTTGCGGAGAGCAAATGGCATGACGCTCGGCGAAATGACGATGCGCAACTGGGTAATCCAACCTGGCAGCTTGATCACACACGCCGAAGCCGTACCCACTGCCGGCTTCACCATTCTAGGCGCACTGACACTGACGGCAACGGTGGCCGCGACATTCTACACAACTGCGTCGGACGCCATGGTGGCACCCAAACTAAAGTATGGAGGCTGGGAAAGCAAAGAGCTGACTGGCCTTGTTCGCACGTCCTACGCCAACCCTCAATATGTCGCAGAAGAATGCCCTTCCCTGTTGAATGCGCAAGACGAACTCCACGCGGCCGAGTCGTGCTCCAACGTCCTTTACTCGGGTGCCAGCTATCGGAACCTCCTGAAGTACATGTCGGTATGGACAGAGATCAGCGAGAATGGTACCGGCGGCATGGCGGACCTGAAGGATCGCCCTGCAGGAACAACGCTTCTGTTTGATAATACCACAATGGAAGCCACCTGGATCGAGACGGAACATTCAAGTGTGGAAGACAATTTTGCCACGTGGGACAGAGTGATCAACAATGTCACGATGGCGATGCCGCATCCGGGCGTGTATGCTGCTGCGACAGATGAGGCCAACAATATCCTCCAGCCTGATGATCTGGCCGGTGTAGGCGAGTACATGATTCGAGCTGGGGTGGTGAGTCCCAGCATCAACGTCATGTGTGTGAACTTGGACCGCGATGAGCTGGCGCCCCTTGTGTACACGGAGTGGCCCAACGCAGTGACAGATGACACAGGTGTTGGGGACCAGAAGGGCGCTGCAGCAGACTGGGAGTCAACCATCCCGAGCGTTCCAGACGAAAACGAGGATGATGACAGTGTCATTGCCGACTCTTTTCTCAACAGTACGGCTGTAGATGATGTCTTTCGCTGGGGACAGCAGTACTATCGATATCGTCCCGTGTTCCCCATGGTACGGACACTTTACCCCTGACCACGTGTGCATCACCCACTGACTCCAGATGTGCAGCTACCTGCCAACTACAACATGATCACGAATTCGAGCGTCTACAACTCGTCATCCATATACATTTTGGCCAAGTCTCCCGCACTCACCGACTTCACTCTCTGCGAACTGAACTCATGGACATCGCCCAATTGCTCAACTCGTTTCGACATTTCAGGCACGGCGGGAGCTCGCATTACCGCCCATTGCGAAGACTCAGATGACAGAGACAGCTTTATACAAACCTTTGACAATGGGTACCCGGCATGGGGTGGACCCTCGAAAGACTGGAAATGGCTCGCCGATGCGTGGCGGCTGTCCATGGACCTAAACGGAGGCGTCTACAACAACAATGCCTCGAACGCACGCATCATCACGCAACTTGCTTTACAAGACCCTTCCCTACCAAAAACTCTTCCTTCCATTGCTGAGGCGCTTGCGGTCTACGCTTCATCAACCCTGGTCTCTGGAGCCATCGATTCACCCTTTGTGCACTATTGGGATCATATCCCAAACATACTCGATCCTGGCGTTCGCCAGGCCTTTAACGCCTCGATTCGCACACAGCAATACACATCTGGGCATGTCAATGACTGGCAAACCATCTTCTATGTCATCCTCTCTCTGGTCTTTGTGATCAACCTGTTCTGCTTGGGCTATTTTGTCACGCGCTCCGGACTCGTGACGGACTTCACCGAGCCTCAGAACCTCTTTGCGTTGGCCGTCAATTCTCCGCCAAGCGAGGCACTCAAAGGCACTTGTGGTGGTGGCCCTGGCGGCGAGAGCCTGGTCATCCCGTGGAGAGTGGCGTATGCGCCAAGTGCAAACCACTACTTCTTTGAGGAAGCTGAGCGCAAGGGTAAAACCAAGGCTGCCAGGAGTGAAGTTGAAGTTAGTGACAGGGTGCATCCGAAGTCAGGCATGAGCTACAAGAGGCTGAGTTCGCGCCAGGGATGGTTGTATGGTTTCTAGACTCTGCTGTGGTTCGTACGAATGAGAAGAACGTGGCGAGCTGATTTCACGTATGGGCTGCGTACAGATTCACATTTCGTAGAACCAGACAAAGACAAAATCCTGAGTGATTATGTTGAGGATCCAATTCTCACCTGGTGACAGTCTTGGCTTGATGGCAGTTGAGTGCCTTCTTTTGGGTGGCTGTTGGTTTATTCAAGGGCTTCTCGATCCGGTTCGCAAGAGGTTCTATGCTCTCGATGCTATCGTCATTCTGTTTATACAATTTTTCAAGAGAATGCAGCCTATTGAGACCATTTGTTCCCGATGTTGACCGGAGTTTGGCTGCGGGAAAGGTGATCCTCGTAACTAAGTTGTGAAGTCGGAGCGCCGAGGTGAAACAATATTGGCTCTTCAAGCTCCCAGAATACCGAGATTTGAGCGGCGAGAGGACTATGGCTATGGGCGCGGCTGTTTGCTGGAAAGATGGAGTGTGTATCTGGAACCCAAGAAGCAGCCTGAGCGAGGCATCTCAGCGAAGCGGTAACATCGAGGGCGCAGTCCCCATTTCGGCCCCTTTGCCGAAGGACTTGCTGAGTCGCGAACCCCATGTTCGTATCCTAGAAACCTTTTGTACCGAGGGGTTGTCAATCATTCACGCCAGCTTTTAGATTGTAAGCAATGTGCGTCCTCGACCCTACAGCACCGACAGCCCAGGCTTTCAGCCCTACATTGTCCATCTCCTCCCCGCTCTGCGCATGTCGTCCGCATGTGCATGCTGAGGCGTGCGTCCGCCCATGCCCGTGCCCGTCTTGCTTGGTATGGTGGGCGCTTATCACACATGCAAAGGCCGGTAAGTTTGAGCTGCTTGCATTCGTTCATCTAAGAATCCCTCCCCACGAGCTCCACACTGTTCCATCGGCCGAGCGGTTCGTTCGTTCGTTTGGTCGTTCCTTATGCCCCAAATCCAAAATCCTCCGTATTCCATCCCCTCGCTCGAACGTGGTGGGAGTCTCCTCGAGCTACGCGATTACCGTCGATCAAGCCTCGCGGCTCTCTCTCTCCGCGCGCGTCCACAGTAGCCCCCTTCATCTCTCCGTCATCTCGCAGCATGTCGTTGTCTTGCGGGTATATCCATCGCCATCGTCTGTCTCCTGTTTCGCAGGAGACCATGCCAACGCGTGATCCAAAGCCTTGTTTTTGAAAGTGTAGCACGAGCACCCTGCGGGGCCGCCAGCGGGCGCTCCTGGTGCAGGATGCTTGCCAGGTGGGCCAAACCCACCAGAAAGTATATCGTAGACGTAAATCAATTGAATCGAGTACGCCGCTGAGGGATCCCCAGAATCATGAGGGAAAACGTATCGGACTGTAAGTATGTAATAGGTTTCAGAAGAATTCAAAGGTGAGGAAATGTCATTTCGTAGAGACGTATGCGAAGAAGTCGTGTCGAGGCATAAAGTGAATGATGATTGCCGCGTTGCAACGTGGGAAAAGGCAAGTGGACATCATGCAGTCGGTGGCCATCTAGCCTCAGCTATGCCACATGAACCCGCCCTTGTCGTGATGTCCAGGAATGATCGCAAGGGCTGCGGCAGTTCTGTAGCCGTCTAAGCCACAGGGGCAATAGGAGCAATGGGGGCCACTGGTGCGGCCGGCACGGCGTTGACGTCGACCTCGGGCTTGACCTCGCCAGCGGCTGCCGCAGCCTTCTGAGGGCAGTCACGGGAGATGTGGCCAGCCTCGCCGCACTGATAGCAGGTCTTGCCGGCAGTGTTCAGAGGTCCACCGTTGGGCGCAGTGCAGTCGCGGGAGATGTGGCCCAGCTTGCCGCAAGCGTAGCACTTCATGGCTTGAGCCTGGCAGTCGCGGGCGAAGTGGTTGGGACCGCCGCACTTGTAGCAGGTAGCAGGGCGAGGACCGCCAGCAAAACCACCACGGCCAAAGCCACCGAAACCACCACGACCCATTGGGGCACCGCGGCCCATGGGGCCAACAGGGTTAGGGCAGGCACGCTGGCACGATCGATTAGCCTTGTAACTGGTCTACGGAGTTGCAAGTGAACGTACAGCGAGATGGCCCGGCTGGCCACAGTTGTAGCAACGTCCGCTGGTACCAGCGCCACTCAAGCGGAGAGTGGGGCAGTCAGCCTGGACGTGGCCAAGACCCTGGCAGTGATAGCACTGCTTGGCCTCCGTAGAACGAGGCAGAGGGCAGCCGTTGGATTCATGGCCTGGCATGGGAGGTTAGTCTGCGCCCATGCACCTGCTCGCTTGGCCGAACGTACCAGGCTGCTTGCAGTTGTAGCAGAGGCGCTCAGCGGAGGAGCAGACCTCGGCGTAGTGACCAACGTTGCCACACTTGTAGCAAGCACGTCGAGAAAGAGAAGACATGGTGAAATATATAGCGATCTGCAACGGTTGTTAGTTCATATAGCTGCTTGCGTGTCACTAGCTCGTGTGTCGCGCCGGTTTCGTCGTCCGCGAGTCTCTGCTCATCTGCCTCGGTGCCCTCGGTCTTGCGAGATACTGGTATATCGTGACGACTCTCGGGTCTGGCGCAACCTCTCTGATCTGGCCATGGGGTGTCCAGATGTCGAGGGTTGCGGGGGTTGCTGGGGTTGCGCCAAGACTGCGACAAGACCAGACACGGTTGTCGCTGAGACATATCTGCAATTGGTGACGGTGGCGCTGCGTGCCTGTCAAGAGTCGCCTCGCTCGCCGGCCCAATCCAAAGAATCCCACGTGAGAAGTGAGTCCGAGGGGTATTGGGAATTTGCCATGCGCCCGAGGCCGGGGTGCCGAATCGGGGTCGCACAACCTGTCCGTCGCACGCGACGGAATTGGATTCAGAGACGAAAATTCCCACTCCTGGCCAGGGTTCGACCAGTCCCTGCCCGCGGGCATTATAGAACTACCGGGCAGACATGGCGCAGAGACTCGAGAGAGCGGACAATTTTGCAATCGGTAACTAGCCGTCGCTGTGGCTTCGAGGGGTTCGTGGGTAACAATGGGGTCGACCGCAAAGCGCAGCGCAGACCGCACCAGGTCGACGGTCGTGGACGTACCTGGTTTCAGGGCGTTTCGTCGCGCAACAATTTCCAGCGACTGGTCTCGACGGCGATCGCGTGTCGAAGTTATAGATATTGTCGGGTTGGAAGGCCTGAGCTCGAAGAGTCGAAGAGGAGAAGGGAAAATTTTTCGCGAGAGGAACTGCTCGAGGGGAGGAGACGACGAGCGGAAGGGGAACCAGCTGCCCTCAATCTGTATTCTGCCCTCCTTCGTTGGTGGGCGCGGCCCTTGTGGGTGGAGGTCGTGGAGGGTGGAGTGGAGAGGAGCAGGCGACTGGACCCTGGCCCGCGCTGTCAATGGGCGCACCTGCTTATGTACCTGTACCATTTTCGCGTGTTCCGATCTGTGTTGTCTGTCAGCCTGTCAGACTGTCTGGCAGTCCAGTCGGGTCGGGCGGGCTGTCGACGTTCGCAGACGACCACAGGCTACTTAGATACCTGGTAATAGCAATAGTAAGACCTCAGTCGGCCCCAGTATGCACAATCGGATTGCCTTGGTCATGCAGCAGTTGGGTAGGGGCCCCGTCTGAGCCTCGACCGCCGGAAAGCATTATCCTAGAACTACTCGAGTTTGGCTGTCAGCAGGTCTGGCGGACGATCTTGGGGGAGTTGACGTTGTGAATCAACGATTGATGTGAGGCGTCGAGGGGCGGGTTTGTCCTCCAAAAGAGCAAGAGCCGGGGCAGATACACATTATTCGCAACTGTTGCTCGCTAAATAATACCACGAATGCTTCCTCTAACTAACAATCACGCACTTTCACCTCCATCCGTACCCGTTCGCACACTGCAGAAGACACGGCTGCTCTCAACGAATGTGAGATCACTGCGCCGGTCGCTGCCTGTCTGACGGACCAGATTCAGATTGACTTGCCAGCACCGCAGACATTGACGATGTTGTAGTAGAGCGTGGAATAGCGTCAACCACGTACGACACTCCATCGTCGGAAGAGTACGACGGTGGCCGTCGACTCGCCCGCGTTTCTGGTCTCTCAGTGCTCGCGCTTTCGACGTCGGCATTGCGTTGCCAGAACAGGCGATTGGGATCAACTCGGACGCTTTCCCTCCAGACCCCATACGCGGGTGGTGTGGGCCTCGAGTCCTCGCCCTCGAGGCCGGCAACTTCTTCATCTCGAGAAAGCAGGACTGGAATTGGAGAAGCAGGTATCGCGAATCCAGCAGTCTGTTCGTTCTCCTCCAGTGACAATGCTCGCGCGTGTTTCGCGCGGTCTCGCCGCACAACGAGCAAGCAGAGCTTGATCAGACCGTAACAAAAGAACAGGGTGGCCAAGATAACAATTAGGATCAGTACAATCAGGGAGCTGCCCATGCTGATACTGTTGCTCACGGAGAGTGACAAATCTATCATTGTAAGCCACGCTCAGATCGTTCAGAGTGCATAAAGACTTACAGATGGTGAGCAGCAGTACCAGGAACAACCCCGAGACAAAACAGCGGACAATGTACGCTCGCATTTGCCGCGATTTGACCCGCGGAAAACAACCCAAAAACCTACGCGAGCGGCCTGCCGAGTGCTTCTGCTTGCGCGGGTTGCCACCTAGGCCTCGGCGACGTCGTCGCTTCTCGCGCCTTCTTCGTCGCGCTTCCTGCTCCTCCTCGTTCCCAGGTTGTCCTATGCTGTCGGGACGCTCAGCGGCGGCATACTCGCTGGACGTAGTACGCTCTCTGGCCGCGCGCATCACTGGCTCCGGTGGCGTGGGCATCTGCGCAAGTGCTTCTGGTGGTCCAGAGGGCTCGGCCTGCGACGGTCTGTCATCCACCCGCGGCGTGGTCTGCGTAGCGGTGTGCGGTGGCTGTCTTGACCACAACTGTGCTAATCTGGGCAGTGCGGACCGGCTTGTTTGCAATGCCTGGAATCCCACACTGCGTGCTGTCGGCTTCGGGCTCCCTGCAACCTCAACAGCGTCTTCGGCCTGATCAGAAGTCTGTTGACCTGCTCTGCGCCCCATTCTCCGCCAGTCGTTGAACCGACACCACAGATCAGGTCTGCTTTCCTCTGCGCTCGACATTGGCGTTGGTTGACGTTGATGACCCTCTTCAAGTTCGACTTCTTGCTCTTGTCTGGCCCTCCTGAGTAGGTCTTCTCGCAGGCGCTCCATGACGCTGCCGTTAGAGGGAACACGAGGCATCCCGAGATTGTCCTTGATTTAGCAAGGGCACCAGATGGTCGCGAGCTGTGGAATCGCTGTCCAAGCGCCAGGTGGCTAGCCTATCAGACAACAACGGTAGCGTGAGGCCGTCAAGATCAGTAGCGTTGCAAAGAGAACCAGCTCTTCTTGTTGATGAGATATTCCGAAAGTGTGACCAGAGGAGTTGCCTTATCGTGGAGATGTGTTGATCAAAGAGTGTTGCGAATAGATCATTTGGTAATCGTCGCGCATCAACAGCGAAGTTGGACGATGCGTGCTTGTGATGCTGGCTGTCCAGTCATCAACGAGGGTTGATCAAGGATATGAAACCTGTGTGGTCGACTTTGGTGACCACGTTGATTGCAAGGCGACACGTCGGTGTCGCAAGACTGCAGGGAATGCATGGTCGGCATCTTGGAACAATGGTCTGCCATAGGCGCGGCCTTGGTTCGCATTGACTGATACGACGCGAGCACAGTCTGAAGGTCATTGTCGCAGAATCAAGGGGCTGTCAGGATCATGATTTGTGGAGATTGGTGAGTCTGGAGGTTGTGTTTCAAATTGGCGCATTCCGCCCCGTATCACAACACTGTCTGGCGCGTAGGAACGCCCGAGGTGAATTGTCAGCCAGTCACTTGAACCATATTAATACCACACACAGGTTTATTTGATATCTGCAGTTCATTTTTAGATTTTCCCCGGTTGCGAATCATCTCGCTCGCTCTTTATTCATCGTTGCTGTCAGACTGGTCTTCTACTGGATGAGCGGTGTTGTTGGAGCTGCCCCATGTCTCTCGCGTGGTAATCTTGATTTGATCGAGCTACACAGACCAAGATGACTTTGGTGCGATTCGCTATGGCTATGGCCGTCGACTGGCACTTCGCTCAAGAAGGGCCGTTCGCTTGGGTGAACTGTTGCCCGCTGTCGTGCAGCTCAGCAGCGATTGGATGAGCCGCACACTCCCAATGAACTCACTCCCAGTCCCTGGGCATTCGAAGGAACAGTGTCCCTCTCTGTCTGTCTGCTTCGTTCTCATCTCAGTACTCCCCTTCAACGAAGTTCTCCGAGCAGCATGGTCCGGTCCGATGATGCAGATAGCACTTGTCCATGTTAGCACTGTCCCAAGCGTGCTGAGGGCGCGCAACTCACATATGGGTTCGGTCCCTGGGCCAAATTCCGCGCAATTGACTGTGCCCTTATGGCCAGGAAGTTTATACATCAGCTTGCCCGTCTCTGTAGACCAAACGAGAACGGTGCCGTCACCCGAGGCGGCAGCCACTCGCTTGCCTTGGGAATCCCAGCTTGATCCCATGAGATTCTTCTCCAGACCCATTGTAGCACCATCAAACGTCCTTATGTGTCGCTCAGTGGGCGCAAACGGCCGAATATCCCAAGTTCGTACCGTCGAATCCATCGAGTATGACAAGAGAGACTGCGCATCTGGAGATACACGCAGTGATGACACAGTGTCGGCATGTCCCAGCATCGTATAGACAACCGCCTTTTTTCTGACATCCCATACGCGGATGTCATTGTCTATGCCACCTGAATAGATTTCGTTGCCCGCCGGCGAGATGGCTACCGCAGTCACCGGGAAGTCGGTCTCGAGGTGATCTACCGCATTCTTCGTCCGTGGATCCCAAATACCAATTGTCGAATCATCACTCCCGCTGATGAGCAACTCTTCACCTCGTCGACTGATGTCCACTGTGTTGATTATCTCCTCGTGTCCGACATATCGTCTTATGCGCGTCCCGGACGTCAAGTCCCAGCTCGCAAGATGCATATCTGCAGACGCTGAGAAGAGCACCTCGGAGTCTCGTGACCACTGAAGGTCCAGAATCGCCCCTTTATGGCCGTTGAGTATGCCGTAATTTTCGCAGTCGCCGTAGGTTCGCCAAAGCACTGTAGGCGTTAGCTGGGTCCTGCACCAACAAGGTAGCCAACGCACTGATACTCCGGTCCATCGAGCCCGATGCTATTAAATTTCCCGTCAAATCGAATTTTGAGGCGAAGATCTCTCCAGAATGGCCCGATAGCTGCATCACCGGCGCCTGTAGCCCGCTTGTTCGAGGAGCCTGACTGAAGGTTAGGGAATTGTATCGCACTCGTGAGACCCGCACTCACGCTCTGGACGAGGGCATTGCTAGACGCATTCAGGCGCGCAATGGCACCCTCCGAGGATTGCACATTCTGCCTTTTGACTAGGGATTGAGACGAGCTTGGATCGTCTTCGGCAGGACGCTTCTCGGCGGACATGCTGACCAGTTGCTACGAAGTTTCTGGAGACGGCGGGCGACGCGGTTCGAATGGCTGTAAGAAGTTGCTAACGACTTGTGCTGTGACGCGGTCTGGTGGTCAAAGAGTGTAGACAAAGTTGTCACGGCCAAGGTGAAGTCCCGTGTTTGCGCGTCCTACTGATTGGTTGCCGGGCCTTCCTTCGTAGTGAATTTCCCTACCTTATGGTATCCACATCACTACCTAAGTAAACTCGGGCCTGGGCCCAGCCAGTTAATTTGAAGCCGGCCTCCCCACACTGCGACCCCGTGAGCTGTGACAGTATCCGTACATCGACAGTACATCCACGCTACCTCAGTTGCAGCCTCACGAAACTGTTTGAGATCAGACTGGCGCGTGCAGTACCCCTCAGCCTGTTGCAAAGTTCCAATCGCGACGCGTGGATTTTCTGACTTTCGACTGGGCTCCCCATTCTGGCTCACCATGTCCTCGAACAAAGCATCAAGGATAGGGGAAGAGTGAGTGCCCATCAACAAAGCATTTGAATGCGCTGACCCGGTGTTAGAATCTGGAAGTGAGCTTTTGGATGGATTGGCAAAGATGAGAGCTGACCCGGAGCTTCAGAACCAGGATAGACAAGGTCAACACTGAGCTCGTTACCCTCACATACGGCACAATTGTAGTCCAGCTGTGCAAGGACTACGATAATGACTACGAGGAGGTCAACAAGCAACTGGATAAAATGGGCTACAACATTGGCTTACGTCTGATCGAGGACTATCTGGCCAAATCAAACACCATGAAACGATGCACGAGTTTTCGGGAGACAGCGGACATGATCGCAAAGGCACGGTCATGTACTCATTCCAGAGATCCTGCCTTTACTAATTACTTCGTAGGTCGGATTCAAAATCTTCCTGAACATTACGCCTCAGGTCACGAATTGGACCAATGATAACAATCAGTTCTCCCTCGTCTTTGACGAGAATCCCTTTGCAGATTTCGTCGAGCTTCCGGACGATGGCCGTGCACAGGACGAGCTGTGGTACTCGAACATCCTCTGCGGCGTCCTGAGAGGCGCATTGGAGATGGTTCAAATGCAGGTCGAGGCGCATTTCATTAGCGATGTACTGAAGGGGAACGACACCACTGAGATGAGGGTGTCACTACTGAGATATATTGACGATGAGCTCCCGCCGGAAGACGATTAGAAGCGATCACCACAGCATCCAGACCGATTAATCAGCGACGTCTGCAGCCTCATCTACGGTCATGCACTTCATGACAGACTATGGCCTGAATCCGCCGACGGGACACTGGTCAGCTTGACGTCTGCTCGGGGGTTTGGAATGACTAGAATAGCATCCGTTTCCAACGCAGCTTCCGATCACAGCGGGCAGCGGGCAGGATTTTGAGGGCTTGCGAGCGCTCCGCGAAGAGACAGATGCGGCCAAGCTCGAAGTATCTGCCATGCGTTTACCTCCCACAACGCCTGCTGCCGCGGAAAGGTTCATAGGATAGCAAGGCAGCTGCGATGCCGCGCGAGGTTACTTAAACATGGCAGTGCATTTCACGTTTACGGTGTCTATCAACCACAACTAGCAGTGCCTCCGATATGGTAATCAAGGCATGGAATACGAAGACGAGTTAATATAAAGCCAGCAGAGTTCGGGTCATTTTTTGGCTCCTCGCAGTTCACAGCAACAAGAGTGAATTTCTAGAGTTGATGGCGGTCGTAAACGGGCGTTACCAATAATGTGACAGCGCTGTCATTCGTCGTGATGTAATGATGTTAGGGACTGGGAGATTAAATTCATTTCTGCCTAAGGCCGCCAGAGGGGCGTTCTCACATCTACGTCGGCATGCTGCAGAGTACGCCACTGCTGTCGCAGTATGCTTCAGAAGCAGACAAAATAACTCGGATGGTTTTGATGAACCGTAGCATGTCTATCCACGCGCAAAGATTATCTCAGCTGTGTAAAAGCTCTGTGATTCCAGGATAGCAGCATTAGCTTGCGGGTGTTTCTATCTCGCGAAAACAAAGATATTGCCACTGCATGTCCGTCGCCAATACATAGTCAACCTAAGTATTTCGTCTGCGTCCTCGTCGGGCTACTGTGCACACACTGTACAGGCCGGTGCGATCAGTGGACTGTACAGTGCGCATAGAAGAATGTCCCCGACCACAAACTGTGCGGTGCGGTGCTGTTGGATGTGGCTGTTCTTATGTCTGGCGAGCTTTAGGTGAGGTTGTCCGCCTGTCAGGCCGCTCACCCCAGTTGATCGGGTTCCCACTTCGTTTCTCGATTTGCAATTCCCTTCCATTTCGCTACGCTTCGACGACCTTGCCCAGGTTCCCTCAGCTGGTCTGTCAGAAACATTGTCCATCATCTTTCGTATGCTTGCCGAGCGCTGAAGCGGCCCTCACAGCAACCAACGCGACCGTTTCGCCAATACTGACGCAGCTTGGCGACTCATCAGGCCAAAGGGATTCGCAGACGGACACCCACGGCCAGAGCGTTCAGAAGAAAGACACAACCGCGCCCGCTTCTACACGCCACACTCAATCACAACTCCACGCCCTGCAGACGCGCACGAACAATTACGCCATAGATCGCTTTGCACTTCTTTGTGTTCCAAGGCTCGCCTTCGAATTTTGGTCATCGACCTTGACCGGCTACCGCGACTTGTCCTCAGCTCATCGGATCGCCGCGACCGCGCGCCAACCTTGTTCATTGTCGAATTCAGAACGAAAGTCGGGATTTCATTGCACCGTCTTGTTCACCTACCAGCTCAGCACTTTTATCGGGCCACTGCCGGCTCGATAGTGTTTTTCCTCCTACAATAAGCCATCGAAGTCGCTCGTGTCCGCCAACGACCAGCCTTCACCCACCCTGCTACTCGTGTCTCGCTTACGTGCGAGTCGGCACCATCGACTTTACCGCACAGCTTCGCTGTCAAATTTTGCGCGCTTCGACTGTTGTACATAAAGACAAGCTACAGTCATTTGAGACGATCGATACGAGACAAGACTGGGGCTAAGCGCTCAGCAACGCCGTTGGTGTTTTTCTTTTATCAACGGCGCTGGAGTGCAACCGCTCGCGGCGCACATCATCGCGTCTTGGTCAACACTTCCCAAGAGGTTGACGCGTCGCACAGTCCGGAAACCCGACCACAGTGCGGGCCTGTGTGGAAATGAACAACATTCCCAACATAAACCCCATGGGGGGGCCTGTGGGCGGTGCCCCCGTGCCAATGATGCACAACGGTGCCATGAACCCCCAGGCCGCACCTGGCGCATCAGGGCCTCGATCGCAGCAGATGCTCGACAGCCAACGTGGTGTGCTCAACACATACATTTACGAGTACTTTATCCGATATGGCATGTTCGATTGCGCCCGGGCTCTTCTTTCTAGCGACCAGCAAGTCAACGTACTCAAGGATGGAAAGGGTGGCAACACGATGAACGGGGCAGGCGACGAGCATATGGACACCGACTCGAAGGACGATATTGATTCGAAGATCCCCGACGACCTCCCGCAGCCGAAGCTACCGATGCCTGCCTCCGACTCATCTTTTCTGTACGAGTGGTTCTGTCTTTTCTGGGATATATACAATGCGCAACGCGCAAAGAGCGGCAACCCAAATGTCAATCAATACGTAACGCACACACAGGTGAGTACTGGTCGACTGTCTCAGCGACTATCCATGGTTGACTGCGGCTCCCCACCCCCACATTTGCAATGACCACCTCTAAGCTAAAGATCCAGCAGGAGTTACTCCGTCAGATGCGCCCTGAAACGGCTCAACAGCAGTATCACCATATGATGCGCATGCAAAATGGTGCCCTTGGTGGGATCAACATGAAACAGCCCGCAAATCTGGCTCGTGCGGCCATGGCCAACAATCAGAACAAGTTGGTCTGTCCCGCTCTAGCTATTGTGCAGAAGCTAACGAACGTGTGTCAGTCCTCAAATAGCCATGCAGATGCAACAGGCCAAACAAGCTCAGATGCAGCGCGATCCATCCTCCATGGACGGTAACCAGAACCGACCAGCTTCACCGTCTTCGGGCGAGAATGCTCCTTCTCCCTCAAAACGCCAACGTGTCGATAATGCTCCTTTCAACCCGAACCAGCCTGGTGCCATGATGCCGAATGGGCGACCCGGCATGCCCCCGCAGCAGATGCCTGGTGCACCCAATGCTGCGGCAGCTCAGCAAATGCTAGCAAACGGTCTGAATCCCAGCCAGATGCAGCAGTTTCAAAACTTTGTAAATACCCCCCTGATGGTGACGGAATGGTTCATGTTACTTACTCTCAGCGTCTTCAGCAACATCATGGTAACCAAATGGGTAATAAGCAGATGCCAAACGCCGCCGGTCCGCAAGGACAAGGCTCACCACCCCTCATGCATGGGCCCGACGGAACGACACTCAACAACTATTACAACCCACCTGGGGGCGAGATGGGAGGTCCGAATGGTCTGCGTGCAGGGCCCGCGGGCCAAGCACCAGGTGGCAGTAACCATGCGCTCCAAGATTACCAGATGCAACTGATGCTGCTCGAGCAGCAGAACAAAAAGCGCCTTATGATGGCCCGGCAAGAGCAAGACAGCATCGGAACGATGCCGCGCGACGGGAGCGTGCCTGGTCCCGGAGGCGCGGTGCCGACCGGACCTAATGGCCAAGCATTCCCGGAAACATCACCGCAGGCCATGCGCAGCGGCACATCACCTAATCCCGCTGAGCAGATGAAGCGCGGCACGCCACAGATGAATAACGCTGGCATTCCGTCACCGGTCCCCGAAGGTGGACAACAGTCTCGAGGCTCGCCCAACCCAGCCATGAATTTCATGCCTAATGCAGACCCCAACATGGCACCCCATTTCTTCAACAAGGGGGCAGAGGCTGGTATGAATCCGGCTCAACCCCAGATGAATGGTATGCGACCGCCTAGTTCGCATCCTGGGCAGGTTTTCAACGGACAGATGAATCCCGCCATGATGGCGGCTCGTCAGCAACAAGCTGCTGCTGCACAAGGCAATCCGCAGGCATGGCAGGGACCGAACGGGCAAATGATGCCTCAGGGTATGCCTCAGAACCCCCAGGCGCAAGGAACTCCGCAGCAAAGAGCCATGCCGCCGCCATCAGCGCCGGCGAACGCTGCTGCGAACCCCAACAGTCGCACGACGGCGTCCCCTCAGCAGCCATCTGCTCAGCCGCCAACCCCGAACCAAGCAAACAAGCCTGCGCCCAAGAAGAAGGAAACCAAGGGCACCAAAAAGGTACGGTTGTTCCCGGATGGTGTTGAATGTCCGCTAATTTGTGTAGGGTGGCGCAGCCAATAAAAAGGCTAACCAGAATGCCAATAACACGGGAGCGACTCCAGCAGCTGAAAGCAATGCTGAATCGGAGAACCCGCCGGCAACCCCCATCACCCCTGTCACTGCTGGGTTCAAGAATGGCCAGAACAACGTTCCGAACAACCAGCCCACGTCAACGGCCAATGCTCAGTCCGCTGCTGCTCCCGTGGGGCCTCCGCCTGGTCAGCCAGACATGAGTCAGAACTCGTTGGCTCTAAACAACGATTTCTCAATGGTAAGCCAACACGCCTTGGTCACAACTATCAATGATGCTAACATTGAGGAGAATTTCATGGACATGGACAACTCGCTGCAAACTGGCGATGTCCTCAACGACTTCGACTTCGACTCCTTTTTGCATGATGGAGATGGTGACAACCAGCCCTTTGATTTCAATGGAGCATTCTCTGCCATGGATGGCAACGAGATCAGCACCGAGCAATGATCCGCGTGGCACCTTTGTTGTTTGATTTTTGCAAGCTACGGCTTAGGGCTATACTTAATCTTGCACCATTCATTACGGCGTTGATATGGAGATATTTCGCGTTCAGTTGGCGACATGGCTGCGGCATGGAGGAAATGGAGAAGGAGCTCGATTTGAGAGTTTGAGGGAAAATTGGCGAGTCTGGGAACTTCAGCCCTGTTTATTTCCTATCCGCCTGATTATCTCTTTTGGTCCTTTTCTGCGGCGAATGAAGTTGATTTCATGTTGTGTGGTTGTATATCGTAACGAGAGTTGGTTTACCGAGCTAGGCACTCGCTGCTTGCGTGCCGAAACAAAAATTCATTGTTACTACGCCTCTTTGCCTAGTAAGTAGATACTGTCAAGGAAGTGCTTCAGCGTCGAAGTAGATGGACACAATGAGGGCCATTAGGTAGCTGGACCTTTGACGTCCTAAGGTTTTTCCATTTCCCTCTTCAACTTGGCGCATTTGAATGCTTTCATATCGGCATACTACGCTAAATATCGAGTTCGAGCGAGTAAGCTATCACAATTTTCGACGAGCCTGTCGCCTGAGATAAATAAATCTTGCAGTTGCTGCAGAGCTGCCTCACTTCGTCTCGTATACTGCAGCATAGAGCACCTCCATCATGTTCGCGTAGCCGTCCTGCGTGGCGTTGTCCGGGTCACCCTAGTGATTATGGTAAGCCAAGAGTTCAACCTTTGGATGTGGCTTGTACTTACGGGCCAAGTGCCGCCCACGGCCACGTTGAAGATCATGAAGAAGGGAGAATGTGCCAGCGTGGCCCACACATGCTCATCTTTCACATCAGATCCGGAGACCTTGTGAAAGCTGCTGCCGTCCATCATCCAAGAAATTGTTTCTGTCTTCCAGTCGTCCGATGTCCGATCGATTTCAACGGCCCAGTCGTGGAAATCGTTATCGGGCATAGCAACAGAGGCACCCAATCCGTTGGGCTCGTCACAAATACCGCCCGCCTCGTCGCCGCAATGCACCGTGCCGTGACCTTCCATGACCCCGTTGACTTGTTCGAAAGCATCGAGCTCGCCGCACATGGGCCATTCAGTGCCATGACGAATGGAGTCCCCCAGCAACCAGAAGGCATTCCAGATCCCCTGTCTAGCTGAAGCGTCGCCCATACGGAGACTCGCCTGCCAACGCATCTTCTTCCCCGGTTGAGGGGTCCATGAGTCCAGGGTCTCGACACGAGCAGAGGTCCACTCGCCCTTGTTGTCTTTCCATGGCACTAGCTGGAGAGTATCGCCGCCAGATAGTTGAGCATTCTTGTTGGAGTCGGTATATTCCTGAAGCTCTTTATTATGCTCCAGGTGGAGACGATACTCCCACTCGTCGAGGTTGAGTTCGCAGCCGGCGCAACCATCAAAGGCATCGTACCAAGTCAACCCCATGCCATCAATAGATGGTGGCTTGATAGCACAGGCCTTGAAGGCGGAAGTGAGAAAGACGAAAAGAGTGAAAGTCCTCATCTTGAAATGAATGCTGACGTTTTTGGGCGACTCTGATATTGATTTTGCTGCTAAAGTGAGGGCTGGTTCCTTGAAGGAGTGCACAAGGAGACCACACAGATCAGTCACTGAAGAGAGCGAATAATAAAGATAGGCAAGCCACCGGGGCTGGTAAAGAATGTAGTGTAAAGGAGAGTCAGTCGTGGGCACAGCCGCAACAATGTCAAGGAGGCAAACGATGGAACAACCAAGGGACAACGAGAACGGAACATGTGCGGCAGATGGGGTCGGACACTTTTATATAGGCCCCTGCGCTGCTCGACACGTCTAACCACCGCAGACTGGAACGACCTTGACCGGTCAAGAAGTACTCGTCCGGCTAGACCCATGTCCGGTGTGTCGATCCGCCATTCGCCGGCTGGAGAAAGCGGCATTGGCGCAAATAGATTTTCAGGGCCTTGCCTGAAGTTGCCACATAAGATGGTTGGGCTGATTGGATGAACACACGAAACAGACGTTGAAACCACAGGAGACTCCATTGAAATGCTTGGCAGGGACAAAGTGGACATGATTGGCTTCTGCGAGTGGAAGAGAATTTGGCAAGGCCGCAAGATAACAAAAAAAGCGCGGCATATTATCTCGTATCAACTCTGCCACGACAGCGTGCATCCATCTTCATCATGATAAGCCAGCCCCTTTTGTGACAATACGTGGCAGCCGTCGATCCGTTGGAACCATGCGGGTGCCCGGTGACCAGCAGGCACACATCCATGTTTCTGCCCTCGTTCAAGTTTACTGGAGGCTCGCATTTGGCAGAGACTCAGGAGTCAGAGAGCGGCTTGCAGCTTACATGTAGCCCCCACCCCCTTTTTCCGCCGCTACCAGAATCACGAATCGTCGAATCCCCACCCGTGACCGAACCACTCCAGTCTGGTCCCCGAATGTTCATGGAGATATTAAGTAGCCAGTATTACGGACTACGGTGTACGTATTCAATTTATTTACTTTTGTGGGATCATAGTCCGTTGTTTGTATTGGTGTGCTCTCTGTGTCTCAGCTGCATCAGGTGTCATACTTCGCCAAATGATAGACCCTGAGGTCGAGATTTCATCAAGTCCATTTCGCGTGTCACAGTGCGGCAAAGCAGCGTGCTTGGCAAAGGGTTTCTAGAAGCAGAATATCCCACCCAGCCCCTGAATAGCACCCGGGCCGCTTGCCCAGGCGTCATGCTGTGTATCAACCCGCTCAAGAGTCAAGACCGAATTTCGCATCGTGTTCTGTCATCCTGGCTACGAAGTAGCGGCAACAGAGGAAGCAGCAACAACAGCAGTAAGTGCGGCAGTCGGGTGCTGCACTGACTCATCAAAACACAACGCCGAGTCGTGAAATCACTCGCTGCTAGTCAAGCTTGGTTCACGTAATTCACGTTACGTGCGAAGCGAACGGAGAAAGCCAGGTGCGGCGCCCTTGTGGTTTTGCGCATTGATCGAATATCCTTCGTGCGAAATGCGCCGCTCTGTGGACTGGAGTCACTCGATGATCATTGCAGTCAGTCTGTTAGCTTTACATGCGCCTTTGTTGTTGAGTTTGACGTATAACACTATCTGCAACCTAAACAGCCAGGCCTCACGATTTGCATACTCGAGCCAGCTCGAAACGATCCGCCAGGAGTGGCCTTCAGTCCTCAGTCATGTTGATGGCTCCCAATGGATCACCCAGGCGACCCCCCAACTGCACAATAGTATTCTCGTAGATACGGGCCGCATCCAAGTGCATCATATCTTCGTCGATATCCCAGGCCATCGATGCGTCGCGCACCGACGATGCAGGTCCATCCGATTCATCAATATTGTCGTCATCGGATTCATCATCCGCATCGTCCTCATCATCCTCGTCTTCGGGCACTCCACTCAAAACTTCTACCATCAAGACTCTTGTTTGTTCCACAAGGCTGCGGCATCGTACCATGTCCGTGGTCGACATTCCTGCTCTTAAGCCTCGCTCAAAGCCTGGGAGCGGCTCCCCGGAACTAATGTCTTGGCCAGACAGTAGGCTTGCAAAACAATGATCCAGTTTACCTAGTACTTCAAAAGAAGCCTTGGGTGCAGGTGGGAATGACCGCACATATTGTGTGAGATCGCTCGCCAACTTCAACAGGAAGGGAATCTGTAGCTCCGCTATCTCATGTCAACGAATGACCCATGGGATGATCTTCTGAGTGCTTACGCGTCGCTGATAACCACAAGACGTTGATGACTGTGTCTAGGTCACGAGCGACTTCACTGAATGTCTTGTACCCGATTATGTCACTGCCGACGTCCGGGTCCCCAAACTTTTTCACATAACGACGTGAGATCTGCAGCAGTCGATCTTCAACATACCGCCTGACCATCTCCTCTTTCCGTGACCCTGACTGCAGAGATCTACTTCGCGGATGAGGCAGGTTCGGGGATGACCCGGTCGACGCAGATGATGGCGCAGGTGAGGGTAAGCCAAGGCCTGGGTTTACGAAGCCCCCAGGCTGCTCGCTTTGGGCATTCGACATGTCTTGGCCAGCTCGAGCGGGTGTGTAATAACTGTAGGGGGAACCAGGTGGTGGATTTGACACAAGTTTGGTGAACGATGTGTCTTCTTGGACACCCGTAGCATCATTGTGATGGCACTGGCGCTTAATTACCTAGGCATCTTGTACCTTAGCGCGAGCATGAGCGCTTAGCTCGCTGAGTCATTTCAATGGATACGCGCGCGTATGTAGCTCTGTAATAGGCTCAACGCGCGCGACCGGGAGTTGTACGGCATCATTCCAAAATTTTGTTACATAGCATCTCAATCCACCTGGAAGCATCTTCGTTTTCGCGCCACTATCATCAGCGAGACCCTCGACAACAAGCAAGACTTCGCACAATATTTGAGACATATTCAAGCAACCATGGCCCCTAAAAGAGTAATGGTCGAGCGCGGTGGTTCCCGCAACCAGCCCAAGGGCTACTTTGGCGCTACCTATGATATGTTGACTTCCTCGGAGAACGCCGCCGTTGTCCGCAGCATCGGCTTGTTCGGCGTAAGAAGCTCTCCGCCTGATTTGCTCGCGATGTCGTTAACGTATTTGCAGGTGGCCGTAACCTTCCTTGCCAGCTCCTGGGGAGAGCTCCTGTTGCCACCGTAAGAATTCCGCCTTTGTCCCAATTACGAGTCCGTTTGTTGACAGCGCGCAATAGGCAGTAAATTTCGATCGAACCTCCTGACTATGGGGATGCGAAAGTTTGACTCGATGCGCTTGGATCAAATGTGTACGATACGGAAGACGGCGGGGATGTTGTAGGATAAGTACTTGTGGAATGGCCTGGAAGACAGTGGGCTACGTACGACCAGACGACATCGAAATGTCGTTGCGCTTCGCTGGGTCAACGGATAAACTCGAACAATTTACAATGCATGGCGTCAATGGACTACTTCCCGTGTGCCGACCGCCTTTCGGAGGACGCTTCCTTCTCCTACATGCCTTAGCAAGGGTCTCAAGTGCTCGGCTCGAGACCAGCAAGAGCAGCCTCGATCACGCTCGGGCATACAACGACATTAGGAATCAAACCCCAACATTGACTCTCGCTTATGATTTACCACATTCAGCCAACTCGACCGGATATAGTCCGCATCTCAGACACACGCAGCATTGTATTAACCTATGCACTTTCAACAACTTCCGACCGATATGCCCCAAACGACCCGAGGCAGCCTCACTCGCCTAATACAAAGATTCGAGGTGCTGCAACACGGTGCAGGGTCGAACTCTTCCCATCAAGTGCTGGACATAAAAAATCGACGGTTTCGCAATTATGTCAAAGAAAGCACGTGCATGCCACTCGCGAAGGCTCCAGCACGAAAAGGAACACTATCTTTCTTGGCGGAACATCGACACGTGCTCGCGCTACCACAAGCTGAAAAGAATTCGAAGAATGTCGACTACTCTAAACTGCAAGGCGGAATGGCTAGCCCGGAGAAAAAGCAAGTTGCGCCCAGCTTTGAACTAATTGCAGATCAGAGCTCCCTGGGTACTGGTCGCAAAACTTTGCGGGCCAGTTGTGGTATGCTCGTGGACAGCTTCATCTCCCAGCGCAGGGGATCACCTCCCGTCGCTGGAAGTGGTTCGCAGACCGTTCTCGATAGGTCAGCCAGAAATTGTTCGCGAAATGGCCATTTGACGACTCCTTTCCCGATAGGTTCAATGAGCAGCTATTGTCGGAGTTCATCGCTCTAGTACGAAGATGCAACGCAAACTGATAACCGCTCTCCTATGCAACTGCCAGATATGAGCTTTCCAAACACGTGCAGACTTCATGTGCGCAAGTCTGTTGATGCAGTATTGGACTGCTCTGGTGATGCGTGTTTCGGGCTTAGTTATGAGCCCACGCAAGCCTCCGACGAGGATTCTACGTCCGGACCGCAGGTCAACAGCGAATCTGTGGATGAAATCATTTCTACCCAGAGCAACATGTCTTCTTTGAGACCAGAGTTCTCCCATACAACTGGCGGAGCAAACACGGCCAATTCCTCAGCGACGAGGCGCAGGTCCAAGAGAAAACAGTGCCTGCCATGTTCAGCGACGATGCTAGCTGTCAGAACCTCACAAACTCTCCCGACATCAACAAATAACAGCAAACAATTGAATCGGTACAGCACAGATATCTTGTCTTTGCTTTTCGCCAATGCTAACATCTTGTCTGACAGGCACGAACCTTCATGTCTGCAGAATCTGATCGGGTTGTACGAGACTCTCGCCCGGCAAGGTAACATGAGTAAACCGGACATCGCTGAGTCGAAAGCACAGGGTATGACGTCGCTCAAGTCCCGTGGCAAGACGATTAAGTCAGAGCTTTTGGGTCCTCCATTCAGTATGTTGAGAGCGACTTTCGACCAGGCATCAGGATGCTGGGGGTGCCAGCCGCCAACATGCGAATCAACTGAAATGGAGGGAACATGGTCGCACCAGGCACGCGTCTTCTCAGATCACCCACGATAGATTCATGGTCGGAACGAAGACCAATCTGTCCCGTGCAAGCTCTCCAAATCCACGTCTGGCTTTGATCCAGCTCCGAGCAGACATCAAGCCAGACTATCCATGACACGACACTGGCAACACCCAGCTCTCCTACTTAATTTTCGGCCTGTTCAGAACTCCTGCAGGCCTCCTATTGAAGAATCAATTGCACGAGCACGGGGACCCAGACAGGACCGCCTAATATTCGGGCACGTTTCTTGCAAGCTACATCAGCCTCAACCACTTCGCAGGGTCGTGTTAGGGAGACTGACCAATCTCTACGAGAGCGACATCTCTGCATGATAGAATCGTCGTGCATGAGGTGTGCAGTTCTATCACGACCAAGTGTCACTGCACGCAAGTGTCAGCTTGTCTCAGCCGAGGATCCGAGCTCATTGAGATTGGCAAAAATGATATCCAGAAGTATTACAAGTCTCAATCACATGAAATTACTTTGAGACCTCGATCACTATGTCCAGTGGTGATCATAGTGTTTGAATTTGAACGAGAGCCGGCGGCCCACTGGCATGATGAAACAGCTTGACAATGTAGTGTAAACATATCCTTATTATAAGAGTGGCTAAGTGACGATCTGATCTACTGCAGCATGGAAAATGCCTCTCCCTCAGATGTCTTCTTCCAACCACCGGTGTAAATGCTCAAATGTTATAGAACCAAAAAGCGAGGTGGCCAACGCACCACTCGCTGTATAATGAACTTGCGCGCTGCCCCAAACGCCACGCCATGCTGTGCTCGAAGTTGGTCAAGGAAACGAGACAAGTAAGATCTTCCGGGTGTGATCAGAGGCGTTCCTCGCGCTGCTCAAACTCTCGATCCACTCGCACGCGGCTTGCGGTGTTGTAAGCGCTTGCGTCATCGATTTGACCCAGTTCGACATCCACAGGTTCAATGAATCTTGAATTCCCTGCCATGCCGCCCTCGCACCTTGATGAAACTGAGATCTGTGGAGTAGTGCCCGCCCGGCTACTGTTGGTAATGCTCGAAGCGTCCTTCAGGGGGCGATGTGAGCCATGAGTGCTCATAGGGACGATGATGTGGCTATTGTCGGCAGAGGGTCCATATTCTAGTCCATAGGACTGGGTGAATCTCTGAGCAGCGAGCGTGCCCAAGGGGAGGATGAGAGTGACAGATGTAAGTGTCAGTGATGCGGACTCAAAATTAGCCCAATGACCCCATTCGAGTCCGGTAAAGATGACTGTGTCCAGTTAGTAATCGTGAATGAAACTGCGGCATTCAACGTACCTGGGATGATCATCAATAGGCCGTTTGTCATAACCAGAACATCCATGGGGTTTAAAGACCGAGCGCTGGGTAGTATGCTGCGGTGCGAGATCAAGTGGAGGATCAGTTTCAGGTTGAACAAGGCGCAGAACCAACAAATGGACACCGCGTTGGTTATGATGGCCCACTGCACCACCCATCGATATGGCCGAGCAGATTCGGCAGCAAAGACCGACTGAGTGAGAACCACTGTGTAGACCAAGCGCCATACGATGGTGAACAGCGTGACCACAGCTGACAAAATGGCGAGGCAGTACTTGGCAACCTTGGGCCATAGTCTAACCATGGTCCAGGCCTGATTCATGAGCGCTGCCTCGATGGAGATGACGAGAAGTGCAGAGAAGCAATTGCCGGCCACGCTGACGTTGAAGTGACGCTGTCCAACTGAAGAATAGTCCCCCGCCCAGTAGTTGTAGAACTCATTGAATGGCGAGGGAAAGAACGAGCATAAGAGGGCCATCCGTATCGTGCATGTTACCAAGGCGATAATGTAGAGGACTGTAGATGGCCGGCGGATCTTGTCCATAGGAGTCATAATAAGGAGGACGAGCAGCATAATAACACATGCTCCCAGCTGTGTGCCATAGTTGATGCTGATGCTGACAGACTCTTCGTTGAAGGCGTCGATGAGAGGAATTGGGATCTGAATTTCGGTCTGGCCATCCGTCTCGAAGAAACGCACGCTCTGCGTGTAAGGGTTGAAGGCCCCCATGCTGACTTGACCAACTCAAGGTGATCAGCGATGGTCCTGGCGCTGCAGATTGACGATTTTCGGTGCCCTGGGTGTCGAAGAGCAGCGGTGGTAGTGTTGTCAAAATGCCTAGACGGGCAGGAGCTTGGACATCAAGCAGATGGAGGGGGTCAAAGCTCTTAAAGGTAACGAGCAGCAGGCTGCGTCAAAGCTTGAGCTTGATGATGCAGAAGAGACACCGGTAGTTTAACAGAATGAAAGTGATAGATGATCGGGGGTGCGCAGAATGCTTGCCGCGGCGAACGTGACAGTACACACAGGGCCGGACAATGGTACTCATCCTAGTGAGCCTAGCATTGTCAGCAACATCTCGTATTGTATGGCCTCCAATGGGAAGCAGCCACCGCTGAAGAATAGGATCGCAATCGACGGCACCAACGCTCTTGGAATTGACATGGCACCGCCGGCCTGACTGTGACGAAGAAGAGATGCTGCCTAGCGGAGCATGAATGAAACGGCCCCGTTGAGCAGACAGGGAGGCGAATCCAGCAGAAGCAGTTTCCCAACGAGTTGAGGTGAAGAAGAATGCTGGTTCTGTCACATTGCAGGGCAAACAACAGCTCGAAGAATGGTTAGATCCTTGCGTGCACATAACATTGTCTTCAGCGTGACGGCGGCTGCGCTTAGTATTGTTCTGCCTCTCGGTGGCCAATGGCGTTCCTCTGGACCCGACAGGGACAGCGGCAAACTCAATGTGCCTGAGAAAAGCTTAATGAAACGCCGTAAGTTGTTGCATTCATTGATTTGGGCCGACGTACTTTAATGTAATAACCCACATCGGTGTCAACTGAACCTATGTCTTCGCTTCTCGACGGCTATTGGGAGGGAGCCGGGGGGGAACCCCTCCAGCCGCGCCGGCAGTCTCCAAAGGCCGGCACTGCAGTTTCCCCTTGCGGCCACTACCTAATTCGTGACCAGGGACAATGGTAAGGAAAATTTTGCCTTCAATTTGTGACTCTTCACGACGATGTGACATTCAAGCCACGCCGTCCTTCCTTTCGTCCTGGTTCAGCTTCCACTGATGTTTCCTTGGATCGCGGCCAGGGACTCCATACAAACCATTCATGGCGCGAGACCCATGCCGAGCCCAATCTTACGTACCAATGCCTTTTTGAGATACCACTCTCGTGCCAGTGAACGTGTCATCTTGGCGAAAACAGCAGGCGAAACTCGACCTCTCTCGACAGCTCGGCCTAGCATGAAGATGGAGTCACCCAACGCCCGCTCCTCAGCGACGAGTGTATAGAGTTGATTCGCCACGACAGTAGGTGCGACAAGCAGCTCATCAATGGAAGGCGTCGGATGGCTCCTGGAGCCCTCGATGACCCCGTCTGCTTTGCGCAACGACTCACGGAGGATGCTGGCATTTGATGACAACACGCTAGATAAGTGTGTCAATTGGTTCATCTCATTCTCCATTGTCGGCAGAACCGCCAGCATTGCTTTCCTTTGCGCTTGTAGACCGGACAGACTAGAGTCGTTCTGCTGGCGACTGTGCTGGCGCAGAGCCGCCAATGTATGAGCTAGCTGGCGGAGCAGCGCATCTTTCTCCGGGTTAGGGGGTATCGGCGGTGGCGCGACGGAGGAGCTGTCTGGTATGGATAGCTCCAGCGGTTCATCCATTAAATCGGCGGGTGCTCGGGGGGGCCTCTGCAACGGTGGGTGCTCGCTCGCTTGGCTCCGCAGCTTCTGCGTCGGCCTTTTCTCAGGATGGTGCCATGTATGGGATGGCGGAAACTGCTGTTGCGCTTGCGATACCATATGAGGTGGCTGTCCCAGTCCTGGGTGCTGAGATGGACCTGGGTGTCGCCCGTGGATCTGGGGCGGAGGAACAGCGGTGCCACCTGAGCTCAAACCACCTTGCGGGTTGTAACCCGAATGGTTGCTTAAACGCCGGGCGTCCTGCATGTCATATGGTTGCCTGTTCGACAGCAATCGTGTCCCTGATGCCGTGGGCGATTGGGCATCCCGAGGGAGCGGGGGGGCTGAATCATATCGGGAAAGGTTTCGTGCTTCGTCGGTTGAGGCTAACGGCAATTGTGGCAGCGGCGGCCCCCTTGTCTCCGAGGTGGAAAGAGATGAGCGGTCCGAAGGAGCTTGCGGGGCCATTTTTGGTGGAGGAGGCGGCGGTCGAGCTTGTGCAAAGCTTTGATCAGGTGGTTGTGTCGTGGCAGAGTACGGAGGACCAGCATCTGGACGTACAGCTTGTCGGGCAACCACTGGGGGCTCCCTCCCGAAGACGTCCGCTAATATGTCCAAGAATCCTACGAGCGAAGAAGCCTCGTGATCCGTCAGTGACCCCTCCACCATAGCAGAAACATCAACGTACTTGCGGGTTCGATGCCCAGTTCACTAAGTAGGGGTGATAGACTTGTCCTTGGGGATCGACGTGCTGCCCTGGGCGGATGGACATTTTATCGGTTGGTGTGACGTAAATCAAAGGCCCTTGCTCGGGATACGCATGAGGCATCCATACAGAGATGGGAAACCTGTATGTGCTGCCGCGAAAGGTGACGGGCAATGTACCGGCGAGATGCACCAGAAGCGCGCTGGAGCCACTAGTGAATGCTGGCACGCATAGTCAGTCTGGATTGCTCTGAGGAGTCATCCTTGGGAATTGGTCGTACTGTGGACGTCTGTTCGAGGAGCTAGGGATGGGAACCGTGCTAGCGCGTGCGCAACGTCGTTATACGTTCGGTTCACATCATGGTATTCCTGCAAGCGTATCAGAGGGTTTGCGTTCAATGATGCGAGCGAGCGAGGACCACATACGCTGGTCAGAACACTGTAAAGCCAGTTGAGAACATGCTGCTGGACTGGCATGGTCAGACCTTCGACGGGCTGGCAGTCGATCGGTGTTGGCGGTCCGGCTTGCGCACGCGTGCGCGTGGAGAGTAACCGAGGTACGGGGAGCAGGCGTGACAACACATTAACAAGGGTATTGCATGCTTGAGTAACTGGTGGCCGGACTCTTTGAGGTGCAACTCTCGTTGAGCACCGAGGTGCCAAGTACTAGTCGCTGAGTAAGGCGAGGCGACAAGTTGGAGAGATTGCCAGCGTCTGGGAGGAAGGGCTGGCTGGAGCTTGGTCCAGACCGAACCCCGCCATCGTCTCCGTTTCCCCACCTTGTCAACACCGTGACCGTGACCGTGACCGTGACCGTGACCGTGACCGTGACCGTGACCGTGACCGTGACCGCGAACACACCGACAACTGAGGTACCCTGTTGCTCCTCCGTGGGTCAATTGCTAAAGTTGCTCGTTCCACTTAGCTTGGTGAGGCAGCTTCACCAGAGTGCTGCCGAGCTATATGCCCGTCACAAATTTGCACACAGCACACAAGTTAGTTGTCTTGTAACTCCATGTCTTTTCCTTGTCTTGCTTTGGAGCGACCATCACATGCCGATCTTACGGAATTCGGGTTGCGTGAGCGCCAGGCGCGCGGTACGCTAGGTGTCGAGCTACACCTCCGAGTCCAAAAGACACAACACCAGCTTGCACACGGACCGCTAACCTCGCGAGGTCCTTAATATTGTGTCAACCGTCTGTGCGCCAACAATGTGTTGAACTATCATTGATCGACCAGGGCTCTGGGGGCTCCACGGGAATCACAGGCCAGTAAATCGCCTGTGGTCATCATTCCGACGGGGCGTAAAGATGCTCACTCACGAATGGGCCCAAGGGACTCGTATATAAGGAATCATGTACCTATGTGACTCGGCAGAATCCCCATCGACATCAAATTCACACTTTATCTTACACCATCCTGACGACTCACTGAGGGATGGCTTGCCTTGTCACTAGGTGGACTACATATTGCCGACTACCATTTCTAGCCTGGCGTTCCCCGACATACGCCTAGGTAGTAATTACTGGGCGAGCGAATCATTTATCCACTGAACAATTCTATACGCGCCAACCAGCGGGCTAGTTGTTCCCTAGATTTCCCGATCTGGCCGAGACGATGACAAGACTCCGGTCCATTAGTCACTCTGACAGTTCCAATTTTCTGGTCGCAGCAACTAATAAACTTTCTAACGCAATACATACATCCCTTCGCCCCGTTCTCTCTGCGATCATATTGCTTGCTCAAACTTTCTTGTCAACATTGCAAACTCATTTGGCCTCTTCACGAACAGCCCTTCCGAAGACTGGATTGGCACTCGATAATTCGAAACCCGTGGCAAAACCTACTCCAGCCTTCAAGAAGGCTACACAGAAAAAAATGCTGCCGCCGGTGCCGGACCTAAGAGATTACGGCCTGTCCCCCACCAACGGCTTCTTACCCGAGACTTTACCACTGGCGAGACTGCCCGACCCCTATTACAACAAATGGGAAGCGATCGTATCAAACCTGCAGGCTCTTGTGCTCAGTCGCCGTCTCCGTGGCATCATCGCTAATTTGCCTGTTCTTTCGACAGTGGGACTCGAGAACGAGGCAGAATGGCGCCGAGCATACTCACTTCTCGGCTTCATGCTCCATGCTTATGTCTGGGGCGGCGATGCACCGGCTGACAGAATTCCCGAGTCCATCTCAATACCTTTACTTGAGGTGTCAGCTCATCTTGAGCTGCCACCCGTTGCCACCTATGCCGCCGTCTGCTTGTGGAATTTCAAGCCGCTCTTCCTCGATGAGGGTATCGATAATCTGGAAAATTTATCGACACTCAATACGTTCACAGGCTCCATGGACGAGTCGTGGTTCTACCTCGTGTCTGTTGCTATTGAGGCCCGCGGAGCCCCCATTGTGCCGCTGATGCTCGGTGCTATGAAGGCAGCCCAGGAAGGCGATGTCACATCCGTCACGCAAAGTCTGCGCGCATTCGCAGAGCGCTTGACCGATTTGACAAACATTCTGCAGCGCATGCATGAGAGCTGTGACCCCACCGTCTTCTACCATCGCATACGACCTTTTCTAGCAGGCAGCAAGAACATGGCCGAAGCGGGGCTGCCTCACGGCGTCCTCTATGAGACCGGCACGGGCACGGAAGAGTATCGACAATACAGTGGGGGAAGCAACGCGCAGAGCAGCTTGATTCAGTTCTTCGACATTGCTCTCGGGATTGAGCATCGGCCAACAGGTGAACGGCGTGTAGATGCATCACATGACACTGCCGGAGATCCGTCACAACGCCACAACTTCATTCGAGAAATGCGCAACTACATGCCTGGAGCGCATGCCCGATTCTTGGAGGATGCCTCAAGGGCCTCAAATATACGGTCATTTGTGGTGGAGCACCAAAACGAAGAGCTGTCACTGGCCTACGATGCGTGCCTAGCGATGCTGAGTGCTTTCCGCGACCAGCATATCACGATCGTGACTCGGTACATTATAACGCCATCGCGCGAAGTGCGAGCCCGCAGTCGATCTAGGAGTCCTGAAGCTGTCCGGCAGCGCAACAACATTGCCGTTGCTTCGACGAAGGGCAAGTCTCAGGCCCAAAAAGGCACTGGTGGAACGGCTCTCATACCCTTCCTGAAACAGGCCCGTGATGAGACTGGCGACCCGGCGGTTCACTCTTGGACAAAACGTTTCATGAAGAGGCAGGTGCGCCCTGATGGTGAGAGCCGTGATCGACACCCCAACGATCTTGTGGAGGACGTCGAGGTCAAGGGCCTCGCAGGCTCTTGGACGATGGATGATGACATTGGTGGTATATGTTCATACTAAAAACGTCGACAATAATAGATCGGGGCTGGCAACCGTACAGCACAGTCCAGGATGCTTGGGCACGAAGATTTTAGCACTTACTTATCTCAGTAGTTAATGCATGGCGTTTGGGTGGGCATTGTCAGCTTGAAGTCTTGCGTAGTTATAATTTGTACTCGGATCAAGTAGCACCGGTGCTCATTAGTAATTACTACCTGTTAGCAATTAGTGCGCATGTATTAGCTACCACTGCTGTATACATACGTCAGTACAAGTATGTACTTCAGGGTATGCTAGTACGCAACTACTAAGGTACCTGGTACTATCAGACTCTGAAATCTCAGGCACGTGCGCTAAGGTGACCTCGACTCGCTGACTCATCTTCGTTCTGTTAAAGTGGTCTAGCGCTCTTGTGGAGCGTGCGAGCAACTCTGCGACCCGTCGCATTTCTCGAGAGAAACGCGTCTGTGTCCTCGCTTCATCATCCCCTCCAGTCATCGCCTCTCCCACCTTCCAGGCGTGCGCATCAATACAAACTCTGCCACTTCGTCATCAAGTCAGCGCAAATTTCAGTATTGCCAAGGGGCGTACAGCGCTCAGCTTAGCTTGGCCTTGATGTGCACATAGTGCCTGAAGCTTCAGGTCTTTGTTCTTCAAGTCGCCCTTGCCCGATCGCCACCGCCCGCTCGTCGCCCAGCAGGACTCAACTAGCTCCAAGCGATACACATATCCGAAATTTGCGTGTGACAACAACGACGACCGATCGAACGCTCCTTCGGCATCATGGACGGCTACGAATACGACTACGCTGACGAGGAAGGCTTGGGTGTCACGCCTGAAGACTGCTGGACGGTCATCTCATCCTTCTTTGAAGAGAATGGCCTGGTCTCCCAGCAGATTGATTCCTTTGACGAGTTCACTGGAACAACCATACGAAGTCTTGTGGAAGAATATGCCAAAATTACACTCGACCAGCCGAACCCGCCACCGAGCGATTCTCGACACCCTCTGGCATTACGTCGGTACGCTTTGAGGTTCGGTGCAATCTCTGTGGCCAAACCGAACGTCAGCGAAACGGATGGCGTGCCTATGACCCTACTTCCCTACGAATGTCGCGACCGCAATCTAACATATTCGAGTGCCATGTACGCGAATGTGCACCAGGTCGTCAAGGTCATTCACGAGGATGAGCAAGAGCCGGACGACATCGAAGACAAGGACAGAAACTGGGTCTACGAGACAGGCAGCCCGGCTGACGAGGATGAGAATCTCTCAGGCAAGATGCAGAATGACCCTGCTTACCTTGGCAAGTTGCCAGTTATGGTAAAGTCAGAAGTATGCCACCTGCGCCACGAGGACGATGAAGGGCTTTTCGTTGTCAACGAGTGTCCCTACGATCAAGGCGGCTACTTCATCATCAACGGCAGCGAGAAGGTCCTGATCGCCCAAGAGCGGTCCGCCGCCAACATTGTCCAAGTTTTTAAGAAAGCCCAGCCCAGCCCCTTCACCTACACAGCAGAGATCAGGAGTGCGCTGGAGAAAGGCTCGCGGCTCATTTCCAGTCTCCAGCTGAAGTTGAACGGAAAAGGCGACTCAGCCCGTGGTGGGTTTGGTCAAACTATTGCGAGCACCTTACCCTTTGTCAAATCCGACATACCTGTGGCTATTGTGTTTAGGGCCCTTGGTGTTGTGTCGGACGAGGAGATTCTCAATCATATTTGTTACGACGAGAACGATACTGAGATGCTGGAAATGCTTCGGCCTTGCATTGAGGAGGCCTTCGCCGTCCAAGATCGCGAGGTGGCCCTGGACTACATTGGGAAACGTGGCAACCGAGATCAGGCAGGTCTGGGCCGCGACAAACGAATTCGAGTTGCGAGGGACATCCTGCAGAAAGAAACTCTTCCTCACGTGTCCCAAACCGAGGGTGATGAGACAAAGAAGGCCTTTTTCCTCGGGTACATGGTACACAAGCTTTTACAATGTGCCCTTGGACGCCGGGAGCCCGACGATCGAGACCATTTCGGGAAAAAGCGTCTCGATCTTGCTGGTCCTTTGCTGGCCAAGCTATTCCGCGGCATTATGCGCAGAATCAACACGGAGCTGTCAACATATCTCAGGCGATGTGTTGAGAGCAACAGGCATTTCAACATCAAGATTGGTCTGAAATCCTCAACTCTGTCGAACGGCCTCAAATATTCGCTCGCCACGGGCAACTGGGGTGACCAGAAGAAGGCTATGAGCTCTACCGCTGGTGTTTCTCAAGTACTCAACCGATATACCTTCGCTTCGACATTGTCTCATCTCAGGCGTACCAACACCCCCATCGGTCGTGACGGTAAATTAGCCAAGCCGCGACAGCTTCACAATACTCACTGGGGCCTCGTCTGCCCTGCGGAAACCCCAGAGGGTCAGGCTTGTGGTCTTGTCAAGAACCTGTCGCTGATGTGCCACGTTTCGGTCGGCACCCCCGCCGATCCCTTGTACAATTTCTTCATCAGCAGAGGTATGGAAGTACTCGAAGAGTACGAGCCCAAACGGTTCCCGAACTCAACCAAGGTGTTCCTCAACGGCAGCTGGGTAGGAGTACACGAGAATCCTAGAGAACTCGTGGATCATCTGGTGGCAATGCGCCGCAGCGGAGGCATAAGCGAGGAGGTTTCGCTTATTCGCGACATCCGTGATCGAGAGTTCAAGTTCTTCTCAGATGCCGGCCGCGTTATGCGCCCTTTGCTCACCGTCCAGCAACACGACGGCGAGATTGGCCAGCCAGAGAAAGGCTCCCTCTGCCTCACCAAGGAACATGTGTCCGGACTATCTGAGATGCATGAGGTGGACAACGGGCAAGAGCTGATGGAGGTGACTGGCTGGAAGTGGCTCGTGAAAAGTGGCTGCATCGAGTATCTCGATGCCGAGGAAGAAGAGACTGCCATGATTTGCATGACTCCCGATGATTTGGAGCTCTACCGACAACAGAAGCTGGGCTACAACGTGGACGAGGACCTGGCTGCGGAGCCCAATAAGCGCCTGCGTACCAAAACGAATCCCACGACACACATGTACACGCATTGCGAGATTCACCCTAGCATGATTCTCGGTATTTGTGCGAGCATTATTCCGTTCCCCGATCACAATCAGGTACGGTCTTTTCTGGTGTGTGATAATATCTTGTACTGACACTTCTCTAGTCCCCCCGTAATACATACCAGTCCGCCATGGGAAAGCAAGCCATGGGATTCTTCCTCACTAACTACAACCGTCGTATGGATACCATGTCCAATATCCTCTACTATCCACAGAAACCCCTTGGCACCACGCGATCGATGGAATATCTCAAGTTCCGTGAGCTTCCTGCTGGTCAAAACGCCATCGTTGCCATCGCTTGTTACTCCGGGTACAACCAGGAAGATTCGGTCATCATGAACCAAAGTAGTATTGATCGAGGCCTATTCCGCAGTTTATTCTTCCGGTCCTACTCGGATCAAGAGAAGAAAGTGGGCCTCAACTATACTGAGATGTTCGAGAAGCCGTTCCAACCCAATACGCTCCGAATGAAACACGGTACCTACGACAAACTAGACGAGGACGGTATTGTTGCTCCTGGCGTCCGTGTATCCGGTGAAGATATCATCATCGGGAAAACGGCACCAATCGACCCAGAAACCCAGGATCTCGGGGCTCGGACTCAAGCACACCAGAAGCGCGACATCTCGACACCGCTGCGAAGCACCGAGAATGGCATTGTCGACTCTGTCATCCTGACGGTCAACGCGGACAACACGAAGTATGTGAAGGTGCGAGTTCGGACGACCAAGATTCCTCAGATTGGCGACAAATTTGCATCGCGTCACGGTCAGAAGGGTACGGTTGGAGTTACTTATAGGCAGGAGGACATGCCTTTCACCCGTGAGGGTATCACGCCCGATATCATCATCAACCCCCACGCCATCCCCTCGCGTATGACGATTGCTCACTTGATCGAATGTCTCTTGAGCAAGGTCGCTACGATGGAAGGTCTCGAGGGTGACGCCACGCCCTTTACCGAAGTCACAGTCGATCAAGTGTCCGAGCTCCTCCGTGGACACGGATATCAGTCGCGGGGATTCGAGGTCATGTACAATGGATACACTGGCAGGAAACTGCGTGCCCAGGTGTTCTTCGGTCCTACTTACTACCAGCGCCTACGACACATGGTCGACGACAAGATTCACGCTCGTGCACGTGGACCGGTTCAAATTATGACACGCCAGCCGGTGGAAGGTCGTGCGCGTGATGGTGGCTTGCGCTTCGGCGAGATGGAGCGCGACTGTATGATTGCCCACGGTGCAGCAGCCTTCCTCAAGGAGCGACTTTTTGAGGTTTCGGATGCTTTCCGCGTTCACGTATGTGAAATTTGCGGGCTGATGACGCCGATTGCGTAAGTACCAACTCATCATCCGCTTGACCAACTTTACTGACTCCAGTCGCAGCAACCTCTCCAAGCAGTCATTTGAGTGCAGGCCTTGTAAAAACAAGACCAAGATTGCTCAGATACACATACCGTACGCAGCCAAGTTGCTTTTCCAAGAGCTACAAGCAATGAACATTGCCGCCAGAATGTTCACCAGCCGCTCCGGTGCATCTATCCGCTAAGGTCGAGCGGATCCTTTACAATTGTTTTGTTCTGCGCGTCACAGGGAGTTCTGGCCAGCATGGCAAAAACACAGGAAATGCATAGTGGCGTTAAGGTTGATATGTATGTAATCTAAGGTAGATAGAATAAGGCCTCGAACTTACGATCATGATGGCATCCGTCGCTAGTGACGCCCAGCAGTAGCAGCACGATAAGATTTTACAACGAGCGCAGCATGCGTCACGTATATGTTTTACAATGCGTTTGGCCGCAAGTATTGCCGATCGCGTGCCCAGTCATCTCGGCGCTGTCGAGCCTCCTTGTCCAGGAGGATCTATGGAGCTCCTCACGCTCTGTTCGCGTTTGTACTCTTCCTCCAGTTGTTTCTGTAAATCGAAATCGAGTTGTCGCTCGCGCTTGATGCGTTGCTGCTCCATGTCGCGCACAACACCTTGGTGCATTGCCTGATTCCTAGCGTCAACTATTTTTGGCGGAGAAGTAGCGTACGGAGAGGCGTACCGCCTGCTCAGCTTGTTGCTGAAAGTGGACGAACACGATGGTGCTCAAAGCGAAGAGCGACGTCGCGCCAAGCGTGAGTTTCGATGCTCGCGACATTTCTGATTATGCGGTGGCAGGGCGATTTGCACGTTGCGATTTGCGTGGTCTTGATCCGAAGCCACAGGTGCGCGGTGGGAGCTGTTAGGCTGAAGCAATGTGCATGCGGATGCTCGCGTTGGTAGCAAGTTTGCTGTTAGCGTTTCCAATTCGTACCTCTGCACCGTTACAAACGGCCGCCTGTTTACTGTGGCAGGGACGTGGCAGGGGTGAGATGTTTGCACAAAATATTGCTATAGCGGGTAGCGGGGGTCTCGGGGAACGGGATTCGGAATGCAACGCATAGTACATGATTAAAGTACCTACTACGTATGCACAAGATGCTTGGAGTTGCACAAGTCAGCTGATACCTTACCCCAGCTGCACCTGGTGACGAAAGGCTCCCAACATCGGACTGTGGTGCTGCACGGATACCTGACTTAAGGTCCTTGGATTCTAGCACATGTACAAGCTTTGAAGACCAATTACCCACAACATTGGAGCACCAGATCAATTCTTTCAGTACCTGAAAGCGCATTCATATTCACGTCTTTTCGATCCGTTGCAGCTGCGCAAAGCTGCTCGTCCCTGGGAAGCACCATGGTGCGCAACTCCGAGATCTCGAGACCCTGTTCCGATGCTGATAGCTACGTAGTCTGCCCAGAATTCCGCCGGAATCCAGACTCTCCTCGATGTATTTACTCTTCGAGCCATGCAGTTGTGCTTTTGCTTACACCGTGCCAGGCCGAGAGGGAAGCGTCCAAGATTGTGCAGAAGGGTATGTGGTCAACATACAACAGAGTATCGCCAGCCGTGTAGCTAACCATCTTTGTGTCTTCCAGCGCGCGAGTGTAAGAAAGAATCATGAATAGGCCGCGAACCATCGATTAACGACTACTGCCTATAGTCAGGACAAAGCGCGTCAAGGAAGCCCGAGATGAAGCCAAGAAGGAAATAGCCAACTACAAGTCCCAGAAAGAGGAGGAGTTTAAGAAGTTCGAAGCTGAAGTACGTTTCTCAAAAGTCTTTATCGCGGAACAGTTGCTCATTATTTGCAGCATAGCCAAGGAAACCAACAAGCCGAAGACGAGGCGAACAAGGAGGCCGAGAAGCAGATTCAAGGTATTAAGGAAGCTGGCAAGAAGAGCCAGGCAGGTGTTGTCAAGAACCTCTTGGCTGCTGTCCTTGAAGCCAAGCCACAGCCTGCTATGCGCGCATAGTGGGTGGTGGATCGTGCAACAATGTGTAACCAAACCATGCCGACAATTACAAATGCCACGACAAATACAGGTGCCGCAGTCGAATGGCACTACTGCAACAAGATAGATTCCTTACCGTAGGAAGCCGACCAGAGTCCCTAACATATCCTTCAAATCCTGACCATCCTGTTGGCTCGTGTCTAAATTCTCCATCTGCTCAGTGAGTGTGGCTTTAATCACAGACAACGGCAGGTCTTCTTGGGCCAGAAGCTCTGCAATCCTAGGCCTAGCGCCTTTGTCTTCGACCATAAGCCATGCCAAAACAACATCAATAGTTTGTAAGGTGAAGAGACCGGCATCGAGACGCCGGGAAAGCCAGTCGATCTCCCTATCAGGTGCGTCTTGTTCAGAGGCTAGCTTGCGCTCCTCAGCATTCTGCTGCTCAGCCAGTTTCACGCGCAGGCCATAATGACGACGAAGCTCCATGAGTTTCCCAACCTTGGCGTAGTCCTTCTCCACGAATTTGGCCAACGTACGTATTCGTTCCGCGGAGTCGCCGGGCAACACGCGAAGCATGGACGCAAATATGACGACGAGATGGCTAGACAGGCGATGGTCACGAGTCTTTGCGAAGAGTGAGAATGTCGGTTTGAGACCACCTGATTCGACGATCTTGCAGCAGACATTGAAAGCACTGCTGCCCGTTGATGCATGCTCCAGGAGGCGCAGGGCTGGCGCTTTGCTCATCTTTCCCTCCTTAAGCATGAGCAAACATAACTCAACGCCCTCTGCCTCAACAAATTTGTCTTTGCCCTCGGCTTCGTCGACTAAGCACGTCACAGCCTCGAACAGGTTCTCCACATATTCTTCCTCTTCGCCGCCTTTCTCGGGATCTCGTCTCCGATAGACTGCAACGAGTTGGAGAAGAACGTCCACGACGTCAAGCTTGATCAAATGGGCTCGACAATCCGCAGATGCTTGCGACAGAATGGCGAGGATCTCGGCTACGTATTGTCGGTTCTGGGTGACGCTTGACTCGGTGCGTTGCAAGCGTTGAAGTAGCCAATCCAACATGCTCGGGTTTTGACTGACGCGCGTAGCCGTGGCCACCCGTAGAGAGATGTTTTCGATCACACTCAGGGCATGATAGACACCGCTTCTATCTGACTCGTCGTCCTCGTTCAAGCGGCCCAGGTTGGACACAAGGAGGGCTAGTAAATCCGCCTCCAACATTGCGTTGAGCAGCATGACCACCTCGCCCTCGTCCCCCCCAACGTCTTCGTCCGTAAGCTCGCTGATTATTTCTATTGTGTCGATTGCGATGTCGGTGTTCTCATGAGCCAACAAGCCGATCAAACTATGAACACATCCGAGGCGGACAAACTCGGGATAGAGCTCTGGATGCTCGGCTAAGACTGAGAGAGACTTAATGTCGCCATCCAAGTCGGCTTCGCTTCCTATGAACTTCTGTGGGTCGCTTTCGAATTTGGATCTTAGCTCGGCGTTTTTAGAGATGCGTCTCTCAAAATTGAGGGCCGTTTTTCGTAGCCAGCCAGCGTCGATCTTGTCGACATTCCTCCCGTCATCTGCGTCGTCCACGAAGTCGATAATTTGGGATTCTTCTTTGCTAAGGCCTCCGCCGAAGAACCGATCCTCGTCATCGTCCGGGGGCATCTCTGGGCCAAAATCTTCGTCGCCGCCACTCATGGGATCGTGTTCTTGTCCATGGTCGGTCTCGTCCGCTGGCTGTGTTTGTATGTGCCGATTCGCACCACCGATATTGTGTTTGGCCGATTTATAGATCTCGTCTGTCATGGATCAGTACACAGTAAACACTAAGCATGCCTGAGTCGAGGGCACTCACTCGGATCCTTGATCGGATCTAGCTTGTGTTTGCCAGTCGCGGAAGATTGCCTGAAGCTTCCGTCGGCACTGGCCATGTCTCTTGTCGTGAATGGGCACTGCGCTTCGGGTTCAATTGTCGCAATTAGCAAGAATAGGCTGCGAAAGAACGTCCGGAAGTTGTGAAATGCCGTGGTTACATATAGTAAGGTATCGCGAACGACTGGAATCTCGAAATTCTTACTGTAAGGTACAGTACCTTAACTTTCGATTAGCGTGCCAAGCTCCAGTCGCGCCAAGACCATCTTGGTGACTTGCCTATCCAGCCCCACCACCGAAGCGGGTCTCATGATGGCAGCCCGTGTGAATGGCCAGTTGAGAGTGAACCCCTGATTCAACTCCACCAATAACGCCGTCGGACTCCATCATGTCGAACTCCTCCTCGTTGAAGACCAATATCCTGGCTTGTTCACCGTTGCGGCCAGCTCCTCATGTCATGCCTCAGTCTCTTGCAGGAACGTGAGCCTCCAGTTGGCGTTGCGAGGCATAGCGTAGAGACGGCGAAGCGTTATTCCCTGACTAATACTCCCCGTGTCGATCGAACGCAACCGAGTTCGAATGGCCTGTGCGAAACGACCCCTGAAAGACAGTTTGCGTATACGCTCCATGGACATCCCTTGCACCCGCCGCTCCCTCACCTCACCACCTGTGTATGCGAACTTCATCGACCACGACGGCGTCCGCGAGTATTCAATGGTTTGTTGAATTTCGAATGATGCAAACTACTTGGACGCCTCACAGTGACATAGTTGAGAGCCCTTATTACACTCAAGGTGGGCTTCCACCGTCTCACCTGCAACCACCAACTCGACCAGCGCCAACCCCATCGACATTGGGTTCCTCAGCGACTGGAGCCCACATACCCCGAGCCCGACTTCCCAGGACTTCTTCCTTGCTACCGCCCTCGCTCAACGAGACGTCCACGAGTCGAACCTACGAACTCCCCGTTACATATGCCCGTTTGACAGCTTCGACATCCTCTGAGTCGCCCGAGCAGACAGACTCGCCGGGAGGACGGAGCGATTGGGATCGGCCATCGACTACCGCTCGCTCCCCGGCACGCCTGAACAACGCACCCTCTAGCTGCCCATTGGCCACACCTGGCATTGATCCCGGTGATTCAGGGCCGAGTCTCAGTGTCTCTGGGTCTGTCATTCTTGTCGGCTGTCGGTCCAACAAAGTTGAACCCGGGTTTCTTTTGCACAGCTCGCCGCCTTCTACAAAGCGGTTATCGCAGGGGTTTCGAGGCAGCCAGCAACCCAGTGACAGCTGTGGCGCCGCTGCCATCTTTGGGGACCTAGGGTCGGAATCACCAAACGCAGGGTCCCATCGCTCATACATAGGTCTCCCTGCGTTCGAGCCGCTTTCTCCCTTTGGCCAGGACTACTCGTCTGCCTGGGACCAGCGCGAGTCACCTCATAGTCGCCAAGGCTCACTTCATCGACCCGGCAACCATACTCACAGGACACTTGTTGTTGAATCGCCGTGCAAGATGCCACTCGATCATGGAGGCGAGCCTCATGGGGCGCAAGGTCACTCGCGCAGTAGGTCGGGGAAGAGTAGTGGAGATTCTGGGAGACATCGGCCCTACAAGTCTTCACAGAAAGCAATGTTATCGCGTGCTCTGCAGAAGGCGAATATGGCGGTAAACATGGATAACGGCAAAGACTTCTCTGGCGCGCGACCTCTGTACGTCGAGGCCTGTGAGTTACTGCAACAAATTCTCCAGAAGACCGCAGCTCAAGGGGACAAGGAGAAGCTAGAAGCTATCGTGAGTCATTCAGATTCCGCCAGATGAACAGCACAGCGATACTAACAACTAAGCAACGAACGTACACCAGTCGCATAGAGGAGCTAGATCAGATAATGCCTCCATATGAAGAGCATAAAGATGCCAAGGCTCTTCGTGAGTACAGCCCAAAGAAAAATTATCGGCAACAAGACAGAATTCGGCACGACCAGTCACCAGAAGCCAACGTGGCATCGGCATTGGAGACAGCCACTGTGAAACGCGTGGTGTTGGACGATGCTCATGATGCACAGTCTCGGAATACACGTTCTCAAGCGTACCTCCAACCCTCTCTACTCTCACAATCAGCTGAGCCCGGTTTCCTACAATCGTCCTTTTCACGTTCCCCGATAAGCTCTCGCTTTCCTGATAACGCCCGGCAGATGCCCACGAGCGCCGCCTCCACAACGTCCCAGAGTGCCTTGGCTGCACAGAGTGCTGATGAACGGTCATATCTTCCTCGCCAACCAGGGGAATCTGCAGAGACTCAGTTGTCCCTCAATGGGATGACTCACGGGACGCATCGGGGTCCCGAGCACTCACGAGAGGATAGCCAGCATTCGTGGTTGGACCCTATAGATGAGTCCGGTGGCTCGACAGGCTCTTCTGTCCACTCACGCACATCGTCCTTGGGCTATCGACGAAGGCAAATACGTCCTGCAAGTGGCGGCACTGAGGCCGAGTTCGACAACGCCTTGGACGAGGCCATTGAGGCTGCGTACAACGATGGCTACGAGCCCGCAGCAGGACCTCCGGAGCAACAAGAAGCTCATGATGAGGTAGTAGCTAACGCTTTGCGGAAAGTTGAGTTAGCACGTGAGCGCGTACGACAGACTGGGAGGGAGGCGTATGAGCTAGCCAGCGAGAGGGAGAGAGAGCGCTTTCAGCTCCAGCCGCAAAGACCCGACTATGCAGATCGACGTGATCCCTCTGCAGGTCAATTTTTCGATGACTCTTCTGACGAGGAAGAGAGGATATTGGATGAATTCACTCGTGACTGTGGCTTGCATCAGGAACCTCTGAGCCGGCGCCAGCAGCCGGCCATGTCCTCTGTGCCTCGCGAATCTGACTCCAGCGGGTTCACATCCCGTACATGGCAGAGTTCCATAGGCTCCAATCCTCCTGGCACCGGCGCCACAACACTTTCGACCGTCACAGAATCGATCTCGGAAAAGGCGCTACCCATTCCACCCACATCCACAACACCACCGCCGCCCCTGGCGCCGCCACCAACACAAGCATTACCGGAAATACCACAGCAGAGTCTGCAGACGTCCACCACACAGACTGTGCGCAATCGTCGCATGTCTGGCCAGGCACACAGACAGCTGAAAATCGAGACGATGAAGTTAACACCACCCCCTCCGCCGCCCGCTTTGGAGCAAAAGTCGCCTTATATGGACACCTCTCCGCCTAGTGGACAGGAGTCTTCTCGACCCTTGGAAGGCAATACACGTCCCTACGCCATTCCGCGTCGGACCTCGTCACCTCCAGTTGGGCCCAGTCCACTGGATACACGGCCTCTCGATTCGCCGTTTGCGCCACGAGCGGCACAAGATGCAGACGATGCGGACGCCGGACGCTCTACGTCTCCTTCCATTAGCAAGCTGAAGAAGAACTTCTCCTCATCCAGCTTGCGAAGTCTGAAAGTTCGAAATATGTCGGTATCACACCTTGATGAAGGGTCTGAGATGTCTCCCGGCACGCCCACCAGCTCTCACTGGGCCAATTCGCAAACACCCATGATGCCAAGCATTCCTCCAGCAGTAGCCGTCAACCTGCAAAAGTTCGATGCGAGCATGCCCATCTTCGATGACAATTTCCACTTTCCGGATGACCCGGGCGCGACCGATCTGAATGATCCTGAGGCGCCGATCTCCTTGGAGCCGTGTCCAACTGACTTTTTGCTTCGTCCATTCTGGCTCATGCGCTGCCTATTCCAGACCCTGGTGCATCCCCGTGGTGGATATGTGAGTTCCAAACTATTCGTCCCTAGGGAGGCCTGGAAGGTCAAAAACGTCAAGCTCAAGAATGTGGAAGACAAGATTGCCAACTGCGATCTCCTGACCGCGGCTCTTCTCAAGTTGGCACGCGTTGACACATGCGATGCAGACGCCATGCTGGAGGAGATGCAGGCTATTGAGAACATTCTGGAGCAGGTCCAAGCCTCGCTGGTGCGCAAACTCGGGAACGAAGTAGGTGTTTCCAACGCCTCGGCCATGTTCAAGGAGGCCACTGTGCCTGCGGATGGCGAGATGGCGATGCCACGATCTGCGAGCGTATCGGGTAAATCCTCATTTTCCTGGCGGAGGCTTCGTTCCAAGAACTCCGCGGCTACTTTGACGGCACAGAGTCGGAGCACTCCAATCGAGACTATTAAGGAGATACAAACGGTTGCATCGCTTCCGATGACAAGTCAGCCATCACGAAAGCCGGCTAAGAGGGACATGAGCCAGGCGAACTTCTCGGGTCCCAATGCATCATACATGGGCTCACTTGCCCGATTGTTCGATGCTGCTCAAGCGATTGGTAAGTAACGAGCCCGCCGGCAGCATTGTTGGCTCAAGCTGACTAACATTTCCGTGCAGATCAGATAGCAAGACAAGTCGAAGATCCTGGGTTAAAGCATGCCGACAAGACTCAGGTTGGCCTGGAGCTCTGCACGCGCCACGCGGCCGAGTTCTTCGGATTCTACGTGTGTCGTTTCGTTTTGGCAGATCTTGGCTTGCTGCTGGATAAATACATCAAAAGAGGGGGGGAATGGGTTTTGACGTGAATCTGGACTGGTCAAGATGGAGGAGCCCGCCTCGATGCGACCGTTCGACGTACGTAGTAACGATAGATACCCCTGCAATGTAATTCATTGAGAACATGAACATACTATCTAGAAATACTAGTCAATACTGAAGCCTCGCCATGAGCCATCTTTCACCCGGCCCGGGGCCATAAGTTGGTGGAGCATAATCCCGGGGGTTCGGGATTGGACGTTCCACCTTTTCCATGTAGTGATACTTCTTGGTGTGATGATGAGCTTTGAACAAACAATCAACCTTCAATGTGCACTTTACTCAGATTCCGATGAGCTCGGCCTGCTGGAGCACAGGGCGAGTCTGGTGCCTACCAAAATGGCACCAACCTCGGTGTCTCGTCAAGCGTATGAGCTTGCCACGAGCTTCCACCTTTCTCTTTCGAACCGCGACGCGACGCGCCTACTACTCGAACAAACCTTCGCCTGCCGAGTTGGAAAAACGCATTGCTGCGATACCTATCGAGAGGTATCGTAACTTTTGCATCGTTGCCCATATCGATCATGGGAAGAGCACTCTAAGCGATCGGCTGCTAGAGCGCACGGGGACGATATCCGCAAGCGACGCGAACAAACAAATCCTAGTACAGATCACAGACAGCCATTCAGGGAGCTGCGCGCTGATTACTGGTAGGATAAATTAGATGTTGAGCGGGAACGTGGAATCACAGTGAAGGCCCAGACTTGCACCATGCTGTACAAGCACGAAGGTCAAGACTACCTGATCCACCTTGTTGACACACCCGGCCACGTCGACTTTCGCGCAGAAGTAACCAGATCATACGCCAGTTGCGGAGGCGCACTGCTCCTTGTCGACGCCAGTCAAGGTATCCAGGCGCAGACAGCGTCCAACTTCCATCTAGCGTTCGCACAGGATCTTGCTCTGGTCCCGGTGATCAACAAGATTGATATGCCCTCCGCAGACGTCCCGCGGGTTTTAAAACAAATCGAATCGAATTTTGAGCTTGATCCAAGCCACGCCGTCCTTGTCAGCGCAAAGACCGGAAAGGGGGTGGACAGTATTCTTCCTGCAGTCGTTAAAAGGATTCCCCATCCAGTGGGCGACGAGAAGAAGCCATTGAAGATGCTTCTTGTGGACTCTTGGTATGACAACTTCAAAGGAGTGGTGCTTCTCGTCAGGATCTTTGATGGTGTTGTGAAAGCTGGCGATCATGTCGTATCCTTGGGTACGGGTATGAAGTACACCGTTGGCCAGGTCGGAATACAGTATCCGAATGCTACTCCGCAGGGTGTGCTGCGCGCCGGACAAGTTGGCTACGTCTTCTTCAATCCCGGCATGAAGAAAATACAGGATGCGAAGCTGGGAGATACCTTCACCACTGTTCAAGATCAGCTCACTGTCGAGCCATATCCTGGCTTTGAAGAGCCACAGCCCATGGTCTTCGTAGCCGCTTTCCCCACAGACCAAAGTGATTACACCCGAATCGCTGACAGCATTAGCCAGCTCGTTCTCAATGACCGCAGCGTCACGCTGCAGAAGGCTTTCTCCGAGGCTTTGGGCTCTGGCTGGAGGTTAGGCTTTCTGGGCAGCCTCCACTGCTCAGTCTTCCAGGATCGCCTCAAAGGCGAGCATGGTGGCGATGTGATTATCACTGAACCTTCAGTCCCCTCGAAGATTATACATCCAGATGGGTCAGAAGAAATCATCCAGAATCCGGCTTTGTTTCCCGAACCTGGCGATCAGAAAACGCGAGGATGTCATGCCCTTGAACCGTGAGTCTTGCAGCAAAGAACTTACGGAAGCGATGCTCAAACATAACTAGGTTTGTGCGAGCCACAATGACAACACCCGAGGAGTACCTGGGACGTGTGATCGAGCTCTGCGAAGCAAATCGGGGAGAGCAAAGGAGCATCGATTTCTTTCACACCACGCAGGTTATTGTTGTCTATGATCTACCGGCATCCCAGCTAGTGGACGACTTCTTCGGCAAGCTCAAAGGCGCCACGTAAGACGTTGTTTCCCAGCTCCAAACTCGGCTGCTAACCTGTTGCTCGACAGGAAGGGGTATGCGACACTAGATTACGAAGATGCGGGTTGGAGAGAAAGCAGACTTGTCAAGCTGCAGCTTCTTGTGAACAAGCAACCCGTTGACGCCATTTGCCGAGTGGTTCACACTTCACAAGCAGACCGCCTAGCTCGTCATTGGGTTACCAAATTCAAAGAGCATGTTGACCGACAGATGTTTGGTACGCTATGGATCGTCCGACCCGAGAGACCAATGACGATATAAAATCTGACAATATGTTACAGAAATTGTTATTCAAGCAGCTTCGGGTAACAAGGTGCTTGCGCGAGAGACTATCAAGCCGTTTCGAAAGGATGTGTTGGCGAAGCTCCATGCCGCCGATATCACAAGACGTAAAAAGCTTTTGGAAAAACAGAAAGAGGGCAGGAAGAGGCTGCGGGCCATTGGCAACGTTGTTATCGAACAGTCCGCTTTTCAGAAATTTTTGGCTAAATAATAGCTGAACGATTAGTAGACTTTAGTGGGCCAGCTGGCGATAGACATGTATAATACAGAGTGCTTAAGGGTTTAGCCGTTAGTACGGCGGGATATTGGATTGATAACTACTAACGTTATTAATATATATATATATATATATATATATATATATATATATATATATAACTTTATACCTTTATATTTATAACCTTATATAAATCGCTACCCTTATTATAGAATTTAATTCTATAATAAATAAATTTATTTATTTTAATTTAAAAATTATAAACTTTATAATAATAATATTTATATTTTATATAAAGTATATAATAATTATTATAAAATTTAAAAGTTTAAGATTAAGATAATATTAAAATTTAATTAATATATTAAATTAAGGCTAGAAATAAGGCTAAAAATAATTATTAATTTAATTATAATCCTTATATATAAAGGGTTAGGCTTATTTTTAGTATAAATAGCGAGGTTATAATTCTTCATTAATACTAGCTATTATAGGCGCCCTTAGCCTCTCCCTAACCTCCTAACTAATTATATATGATACTATAGCCGTTAGGACTCCTAAGTTACTTAAAGAGTATTAAGCTAATAAATATAATATTAAGCCACGGATACCCTAGCGCGTTACTTTATTAAGATAGGTAATATATAAGTAACTTAATAAGGTTCTTTTAGTTTCTAAATAAGCTAGTTCTTTTAAGGAAATTAATTAAAATAAATAAAAAGAATTTTAAAAAAATAATAAATTTAAGTCTTATAAATATATTATTTTTATTTTTCTTTCTTAATTTAATTTATTTATCTTTATTATAATTTCTTAAACTTTTTTTAAGATTATTTAAAAAAAAAATACCTAAAAGTTATAATAAATTTAAAAATAAACTCGCTTATAAGTATCTTTTTTTAAAGAGCGTTTAAAAGTCTTGTAAAAAATAAAATTAAGGTATAGTTTTTTTTAAAAAAAGATTATTTAAAGAATAAGACTTTTTTAGTCCTTTAACCTTTATATTTTTATTTAATTAATTAAAATAATTTTAGGGTTTATAAATATAATATAAATACTTAAGATAAAAAAATAAGTTCTAAAGATTTATTATAAAACTTTAATAAAAGTAAAATCGCTTATAATAAGCCTATATTATAAATATATTATAAGAAAGCTATATTATTATTATAAAACTTAAAAAAATATTAAATAAAGAAATAAAGATTATTAATTTTATTTAATTTATTTTTAATTCTTTATTTATAGCTTATAATAATTAATTATTAAACTTATAAAAAGTATTTTATAATATTAAGACTTATTATAATATTAATAAAAATATAATTCTTAATACTCTTTATAAAATATATTAAGTATATTATATTTAATAAAAATAATATATAAGAAAATAATATACTAAAAATAACTAAGAAGCTCTTTAAGAAAATTAATCTATATTTAAAGAATAAACTTTAAATTTAATTAAGGATATAATAAATTATAAATACTTATTTATATTATAATTTAATAATATATATTAAAAAAAAAAAATAATCCCCTTAAGAATTTTATATATACCTTAATTTATTAAAATAATATTTTAAATAAAAATTTAAAATAAATTAATTATATTTTTATTTTATAAAACTTTACCCTAATATTTAAGATAATCTTTTAAATATAATATTTAAATATTAATTATATAAGAAAATATTATTTTTATTCTTAAATAAGTATAAGATATATTTTTATTATAAAAATAAAAAAAGCTTATAATATTTATAATTAATTCCCGAATTATATTTATAAAATAATAAAAACTTAATTAAAATATAATATAATAATAAGATATATTTAAATTAAAAAAGTCTTATATTTTAATTATAATAAGTTTTATTTATATTATATAATTTAATAATAACTTAATAATAAATAATAAATTATTATAATACTATAAATATTAAAATATTAAGTATCTCTCGAGTACTTATTTATAAAAATAAAAAATAAATATACTAAGAAAAGCTAGCTAACTTAAGAAAGGGTAATTAAGGTTTAAAAAGAAAGAAAAATTACTTAAAGTATTTAAATAATAATTATAATTTATAAAGAATATAATTAAGAGATATAAATTAAGCTAAATATTAATATTATATATAATATTATTAATTTCAATTATATAAAAAAAAAACTTTTAAGTTTTATTTTTAATTCTTTTTTTTATATAATATTATTTATTAAATTTTAAAATATAATAATATTTAAATTATATTATTTATTATTATAAATAAATATAGAATTATTTATATATTTATATAAATATTTAATATTTTAATATAATAAATAAAATATTCTTTATATTATAAAAAATACTTATTCTAGAAAATAAATAAATTTATTTTAATTATTTTTAAAAATAATAATAATTTAATAATATAATTTTTAATAAATTCTTATAATTTTATAAAAAAATAATAAAAAAATTATTAATAAAGAATATAAATTCATATTATTTATTTTATAAAAAAAAAGATTTTTAAAAAAAAGAATTTAAAAAATTAAAAATTTTATATATTAAAAAATAAAATAAATTTTTATAAAATTATATAATTTTTTAAAAATATTTATATTTAATAAAAAAATTATTTTATTATAATATTAAGTTTAAGATTATATTATTAATTTTATTAATAATAAAGATTTTTTATTTAAATTAATTTATTTTTTATTATTAAAAAAACTTTATAAATTAAAAAATTATTTATAAAAAATATTTATAAATATTATTATTTAATTTTTAATTATAAAAATTATAATTATATAAAGAATTTTTATTATTTTTTTAAAATTAATATTAAGAATATATATTATTATATTTATATTAAAATAAATAATAAATAATAAATAAAAGATTATTTTTAAAATATTATATAAATATTATAAATATTATATAATATTTTTTAAATTTATTAATATTTATATTATATTTTAAGAATATATTTATAATATTCTTTATTTTTTCTAAATATAATATATATTATATATTTTAATAAATTTTTAATTTTTTCAAAAATTAAAAATATATATAGTTAAAATTTATAAAAAAATACTTAATAAATTATAAAAATTAAGTTTTTAATTAAATTATTAAAATATATTTTTTATAAAAAAAATTAATTTCTTAAGATTTATAATTAATATTATTAAAATATTAATAAATTTAAAAAAAAAATTGAAATAATTATATAATAAAAAAACTTATAATTTATAAAAAATATAAATCTTTATTAATTTTTATAATTTTTATTATTAATTTATTTATAATTTTTTTAAAATAATATAGTTTTTAATAATATTATTTAAAAAAAAATAAAAATAATAAAAAAATAAATTAAATATACTTTAAAAAAATAAAATTAAATATATTTTATATTTTTATTGATATTTTTTAAAAAAAAAATTTTATATTATAATTTTATTTCTAAATTATAAATTAAAAAAATAATCATAATAATTTTTTATAATAAAATATTAAAAAAAAAAATATTTAATTAATTTTAAATCGCGAGGGTTTTAAGGCTTAAAATTAAATTATAATATATTAAATTAAAAAATAATAATTATTATAAAGTTTTTTAAATATTAAAGATATTATATTAAAAAAACTATATATATTATTAAGGTTTTAAATAATTATTAGAACCTTTATAGTTTTATAAAATAACTTATATTATTAAAATAATAAATAAAATAATATTTATTTCTTATTTTATATTATTTTATAATTAAATATTATATAAAAGAGTTAAATCTTATAAATATATTATTAAAATAAGTTAAATATAATAAAAAATTACTTAAGAATAAGATATTTATTTTTTTATTAAAAATATACTTAATTTAATATATTAAAATAATATTTAAATAAATATTATAAGCTTATATATAAAATATTTAAATAAATATTTATACTCTAAATCTAAATAATAAATTTTAAAAATTAATTTATAAAGCTTAATAAAATTAAGATTATAATAAATATAATAAATAAGAAAAAAATACTTAATAATTTATTATATAAAGAAATTTATTTTAAATTAATAAAAAGATTTAAATATTAAACTATCTTAGCTTTATAAATAAGCTAATCTAATTATATTATAATAATTTATTTATAAAATATTTTAAGATTTAATGAATATAAAGCTTTATTAAATATAAATCTTTTTAAAATAAAATATATAAATAAAGAAAAGAATATATATAAACTTATCTTATTTAGTAAAGAGTTATCCTTAAGAAATATAAGCTTTATAAAAAATTATTATTATTATTATATTTATTTTAATTATTTTAAGAAATTATAATAGACTTTATTATTAATTTATTTTTAATATAAGATTAATATAATAACGAAATAGATATAATTCTCATTATAACTTAGTATTTTATAATATTATTATATATTCTTTTTATTATTATAACGACTATTATACTTAAATTAGCCGGATTAATTTATATTAAAATTAAATTATATTATAATTTACTCTAAGATATTATATTAAATTATAGGTTTATATTTATAAATATATTTTAATTAATATATTATACCTTTAAGGTATATAATTAATTATTAATAATATTTTACTTATATATTAGTAATTAAATAAAATAAATAAACTAAATATTAGAGTATTATTTATAATACTTTATAATAAATAATTAATATTCTTAGTTATTATTATTAAAATAAATAAAATTTATAATAAATAATATATTAAATATAAATATAAAGCTATCGCTATATATAGTACTTATAGGGTATAACCCTTAGTTCTATATACGCGTTAGGGATAATGTGAAAAGAAAATCTAGATATAAACTAATATATTAAAAAACTTAAAGATTTATAAATATAATTAAAATAAAAACTAATAAAAGAAATATTAAAATTATTTTTATTAAGAATTATAGCTATAATAAAATAATTTAATTAAATTAAAAATAAAGTC